CGTGGCCCAAGGGAGTCGTCATCGCCACTTTTCCCGGGCGAGACGGCACAGTACGAGTCGTCGATCTGAAGACAGCCGGAGGAGTGCTACGCAGACCGACCAAGCGACTGGTGATATTCGCATCGGCCGCCACTCCCACGGAAGATGGATGCAGCGACGAGTCAACCGACGCTGCACGGCGGGAGTATGTACGCGACGACCGAAGCGAGAGAAAATGAACTCACGACGATACGAGAGCAATGTATAAAAATGTATCTATAATTTCACATGAATTAGTTGTATACGCATTAAAAATATCATTCCCTTGTTGTCTTATTAGAATGAGTCGGATATCGCAACAATAGATAGCTCTGCCCATAGTAAACCATTGTAAAATTGATAGTTCAGAGCGATATTCCGCCCCGTTCTCTCCAATAATCTTATAAGACTTTATCTAAACGATCGCCACGACGCCAAGCGGTGGCGCGGGGAAACTAGTCAGAATACTGATAGTTCCGACCTATAGGAGGGACGGAGACAATAGGTTGTCCTTGTCACACGTCTTATAGGATTTTACCTGAGTTGACAATTTTCGATAATAGTATGTTTTATGTTTTGATTGATTTATTTTATGTCTTATTAGATAGTAGGTAGTTATAGGAATAATATATCGAAGTTTTATATGAATCGTGTTAGTAGTTTAAGCGTAATTAAGGAAAATATCGGGAATAGTTTTTTATGAATAGTCAATAGGATATAGGTATAATTGTTATAATAATGATGTCATTTTATGTGTTTTTACTTCTTCTTTAAAATGGTGTATGATAATTAGACATTAAGCGAGTATAAGTAGGTTTTTTAAGACTTTTTAATTTGTAAACTTTATAGGGCCGTACAGCTGTTGTTTATTAATATTCTTGTAAGAAACTTGTTGTATTAGATAGGTAACACGTAGGGCTACGTAAATAAATAGGTATCGCATCAATAAGTGTAAAAATGTACTGTGTAGGAGAAAAAACATGTTTGTATAGAACCGTTTTCTGAGACATGTTGCGCTCCCCACCCGGCGCGCCCGGAGCGCGCGGGTGGGGCAGCGAAGCCCCGTGGCGGGGCGAAGCCCTATGGAGGGGGAAAGTATAAATATTGCGGAGACCTATTTTTTGCGCGCCACACCTAAAATATCGTGTTTACGGACACATAACTATGTTAAAAATATGCCCAAATGTATGCCCGATGTATGTACAATTAGTTTTAAGCTCGCACTATTGTAAATCTTGAGAAAATGAAAAATAAAGTATAGCGTGGGTGAGGTAATGGATCGCTGGCCAGCTCAGTCCTAGCATATAAAATTCGAGTCGGAACATGCCCCGACATGCATTCAGCGACAGGCGCTCCTACCCTAAGGAACAGGAAGAAACAACCAAGCGGTTCACTCTGGACCTGAAGCCTCCTCTCACCGGCCATCCATTATCAGCGCCCACCGATTTCTTCAATACCGAACACCAGGGGTTTTATTCGCCGAAACTACAGTCCACTACAGTCAAGACTCCTGCGTGTAACTTCCTCCACCCCCTCAGTACGAGTCGGTAACTGTCCGCTACTGCGACAGCCCGGCGTCCCGTACATTTTTTGTATGTACGCGACGACCGAAGCGAGAGAAAATGAACTCACGACGATACGAGAGCAATGTATAAAAATGTATCTATAATTTCACATGAATTAGTTGTATACGCATTAAAAATATCATTCCCTTGTTGTCTTATTAGAATGAGTCGGATATCGCAACAATAGATAGCTCTGCCCATAGTAAACCATTGTAAAATTGATAGTTCAGAGCGATATTCCGCCCCGTTCTCTCCAATAATCTTATAAGACTTTATCTAAACGATCGCCACGACGCCAAGCGGTGGCGCGGGGAAACTAGTCAGAATACTGATAGTTCCGACCTATAGGAGGGACGGAGACAATAGGTTGTCCTTGTCACACGTCTTATAGGATTTTACCTGAGTTGACAATTTTCGATAATAGTATGTTTTATGTTTTGATTGATTTATTTTATGTCTTATTAGATAGTAGGTAGTTATAGGAATAATATATCGAAGTTTTATATGAATCGTGTTAGTAGTTTAAGCGTAATTAAGGAAAATATCGGGAATAGTTTTTTATGAATAGTCAATAGGATATAGGTATAATTGTTATAATAATGATGTCATTTTATGTGTTTTTACTTCTTCTTTAAAATGGTGTATGATAATTAGACATTAAGCGAGTATAAGTAGGTTTTTTAAGACTTTTTAATTTGTAAACTTTATAGGGCCGTACAGCTGTTGTTTATTAATATTCTTGTAAGAAACTTGTTGTATTAGATAGGTAACACGTAGGGCTACGTAAATAAATAGGTATCGCATCAATAAGTGTAAAAATGTACTGTGTAGGAGAAAAAACATGTTTGTATAGAACCGTTTTCTGAGACATGTTGCGCTCCCCACCCGGCGCGCCCGGAGCGCGCGGGTGGGGCAGCGAAGCCCCGTGGCGGGGCGAAGCCCTATGGAGGGGGAAAGTATAAATATTGCGGAGACCTATTTTTTGCGCGCCACACCTAAAATATCGTGTTTACGGACACATAACTATGTTAAAAATATGCCCAAATGTATGCCCGATGTATGTACAATTAGTTTTAAGCTCGCACTATTGTAAATCTTGAGAAAATGAAAAATAAAGTATAGCGTGGGTGAGGTAATGGATCGCTGGCCAGCTCAGTCCTAGCATATAAAATTCGAGTCGGAACATGCCCCGACATGCATTCAGCGACAGGCGCTCCTACCCTAAGGAACAGGAAGAAACAACCAAGCGGTTCACTCTGGACCTGAAGCCTCCTCTCACCGGCCATCCATTATCAGCGCCCACCGATTTCTTCAATACCGAACACCAGGGGTTTTATTCGCCGAAACTACAGTCCACTACAGTCAAGACTCCTGCGTGTAACTTCCTCCACCCCCTCAGTACGAGTCGGTAACTGTCCGCTACTGCGACAGCCCGGCGTCCCGTACATTTTTTGTATGTACGCGACGACCGAAGCGAGAGAAAATGAACTCACGACGATACGAGAGCAATGTATAAAAATGTATCTATAATTTCACATGAATTAGTTGTATACGCATTAAAAATATCATTCCCTTGTTGTCTTATTAGAATGAGTCGGATATCGCAACAATAGATAGCTCTGCCCATAGTAAACCATTGTAAAATTGATAGTTCAGAGCGATATTCCGCCCCGTTCTCTCCAATAATCTTATAAGACTTTATCTAAACGATCGCCACGACGCCAAGCGGTGGCGCGGGGAAACTAGTCAGAATACTGATAGTTCCGACCTATAGGAGGGACGGAGACAATAGGTTGTCCTTGTCACACGTCTTATAGGATTTTACCTGAGTTGACAATTTTCGATAATAGTATGTTTTATGTTTTGATTGATTTATTTTATGTCTTATTAGATAGTAGGTAGTTATAGGAATAATATATCGAAGTTTTATATGAATCGTGTTAGTAGTTTAAGCGTAATTAAGGAAAATATCGGGAATAGTTTTTTATGAATAGTCAATAGGATATAGGTATAATTGTTATAATAATGATGTCATTTTATGTGTTTTTACTTCTTCTTTAAAATGGTGTATGATAATTAGACATTAAGCGAGTATAAGTAGGTTTTTTAAGACTTTTTAATTTGTAAACTTTATAGGGCCGTACAGCTGTTGTTTATTAATATTCTTGTAAGAAACTTGTTGTATTAGATAGGTAACACGTAGGGCTACGTAAATAAATAGGTATCGCATCAATAAGTGTAAAAATGTACTGTGTAGGAGAAAAAACATGTTTGTATAGAACCGTTTTCTGAGACATGTTGCGCTCCCCACCCGGCGCGCCCGGAGCGCGCGGGTGGGGCAGCGAAGCCCCGTGGCGGGGCGAAGTCCTATGGAGGGGGAAAGTATAAATATTGCGGAGACCTATTTTTTGCGCGCCACACCTAAAATATCGTGTTTACGGACACATAACTATGTTAAAAATATGCCCAAATGTATGCCCGATGTATGTACAATTAGTTTTAAGCTCGCACTATTGTAAATCTTGAGAAAATGAAAAATAAAGTATAGCGTGGGTGAGGTAATGGATCGCTGGCCAGCTCAGTCCTAGCATATAAAATTCGAGTCGGAACATGCCCCGACATGCATTCAGCGACAGGCGCTCCTACCCTAAGGAACAGGAAGAAACAACCAAGCGGTTCACTCTGGACCTGAAGCCTCCTCTCACCGGCCATCCATTATCAGCGCCCACCGATTTCTTCAATACCGAACACCAGGGGTTTTATTCGCCGAAACTACAGTCCACTACAGTCAAGACTCCTGCGTGTAACTTCCTCCACCCCCTCAGTACGAGTCGGTAACTGTCCGCTACTGCGACAGCCCGGCGTCCCGTACATGAACATTTTAAGAAATGTCCAATATACACTTAATAGGGGTGATGACGGGGTACAGTAAACGAAATTCTATTTAGTCCGTCAGTTAGATGATCAAAAAATAATGGACACGTATTTTTTTCTTCGGGCAATCAACCAAAAAATGACAAAGATATAGCGCGTCAAAGTTTGGGAGTAGGGGCTCGTGACGTCACTTTTGAGTGAATTTTCCCTTATAAGTGTATTCAAACGTGACGTCATGCGACTTTTCAAATCAATATATCTCTGCAATGTTTATATTATGTGAAAAAAGAAAAAATACGTGTCCAATACTTTTTGATAATCTACCTGATAAACGAAGAAAAAAAAATTAGTCATAATCCCTATTGTTTGAATTTAGATAGAATCGGATATAAATTACCATCATTATATTATGTTATACTTTCTTTTTATTTTAAACATGAAAAAGAAAGTATATAACAATAAAGGACAAAAAATAAGTTATATTAACCAAAGGTTAAGTTATATTACTACATATCTCATAAGAAGTTTGTTTAGTTCACATACCTTACATAACTTTAATGCGTGCTGTAGCATTTCTTCTCTCTCAGCTGGATTCTTTTGTTGTTTAGCAAACATTAAAAGTTCATTAGCCTAAAATAAAGAAAAGATATTGTATTTCTACAACAATATTCATTAAACTATTCAATCAGTAGAAAGATCATTTCCAAATGTCCCAATAACAGTTATACTGTAAACTATTCATACCTTTGAACAAGTCGCGTCCTCCTGGCGATATAGTGTTGGGCAAAGTTGTCTAAGTTTTTGGGAGATTCCATCTACAGAAGCATTGTCACGCAAGTATCCGGCTACCAATGAGCCTAGAAGCAGGCATGCTACCTCCTGTCCACCAACGAGTAATTCCCTTGAAGAAAATATTGATACATTATTAAACAAAACCACTTTTAACGAGTTAAATAGCGAGTTTAATATTACTGTCTTAACACAGGTATAACCTACCCAGCGCGGGCATCAATCTCACACAAACATTAATGTAATAAGATATTTTAAAAAAATGTTATTGATGCTAATGTTTGTGATGAGAAAATAAACGACTTTATTATCATTATTCTTGAAGTTTAGGGCCCTTTACGGGTTCTATGATTACATGACAAGATATAAAATTTTGCTTTATGATATACATCATCACGTGGACCTAGTGCGAATTGGTTGGTGCTAGCGACTGCAGATGCAGCTGGGACCAATGACTAAGCATGACTTCTGAACACAGGAGCTAGAGATTGAAGCTACTTTCGGTATTTGCATTGCAGAGGCGACGGATTTTTGGTCCTGTGATCACAGGATAAATCTGAGCAAATTGCTATTAACCAACAGCCTGACAAACCGTTTATTAATTTCTAACCTCAAACAGAAACAAACCTTACAACATAACAGATAACAGATTAACTTTCTCGTCGGTCAAAAAAATTCCAGCAAACAGATTTACATCGGACTGATCTGAGCGGAATTACCGAACGCTTCAGATTTGCTCTAGATGTAATAAACGAACGATTCAGACTAAAAAGATTGATCAAACGCAAAAACCGCACGCAGCTAATGAATTTTGGGTCACGCATCTGATTAGCGCAATTGATTAACTTCCACGATTGCAGACAGAAATCATTTACGGTTATGCAGAGCTCCTTAAAGATTTTAAAGATAGAGTATTAGATTTTTTTTAAATTAAATAATATTAAACTACTAACTTCAAGGCCTTAATCATCATAATATGAAAAAAGGGTCCATTAAGTTGTTGGTTTCTATATTAACATTGTGGCTGTTATTTTAGTTAAACTAAATAAAAAATAGTTTCACATTTTTTATTTTAAATATCCAAGTATAAATTTATACGTTTTACAGATGTTTCAACGTCTATTATTTTTATTTGTGTGAACAATATACTAATTTTGATTTGATTAAATTTACCCACTTTTTGGGGAATGCGGCCTAACCTGGTATCTTACGCATGCGCACCAAGACATAAATATTGAAATTTCGCTGACATTGCGCGAGTGTAAGATACAAGATTCGCGTGTTTTGTTTTGCGTGTAAAACCCTTGTTTGTTTTATTCGCAGTGTTTACAAGGTAATGCTCTATCTAGAGAGTAAATAATCAAAGTTCTTTGACATAATCATTTAACTTCCGTTGCTTAATTTAGTACATCGTTTGGATATGGAACCCCAAAAAGGATCATGCATACGTAAATGATATTAATAACTTAACTGGTCGTTTCATCAAAAACTTACCTGAAGCTTGCAGCCTGTAGTGCAGTCTGTTGCTCTGGTGGCAAACTAGCCGCAATAACGTGAAACTGGTGTTCACACAGCACCTTCCAAAGACTCAGCATTTCTATAGCCATTGCTGTAAATTAATTAATTACTCTATATCGGAATCGAATACTTGTACGAAATAAATAACTATTGTTGTACCGAACAAATTTAAATGCTGTTTTAAATAACTGCATGACATTAATTATTCTCTAGAAAGCGATGTCGTGAGATATTACGGCAGAAAATTTAAAAACAGACGAAGCGATCGAGCGAGCTGTAGTTCGTGTTCAAATTTATCTGACAGCTGCAAAAGGATTAATTAGATAGATAGTTTTTGGGACTTGGCCAGACCATACTCTCTATATCTAAGGTCGCGATTAGCGCTACATATTTTTTATGCGTAAAGAAATTACCTACTTATGATAGATAGCTTAATGTATGCATTTTCTAAACACCAGCGAGGCGTGCTTGTCGGAATGTTAGAACGACGCCACCCGTAGTAGACGTTACAATATATAGGCACAGTCCTCTCCGGTCACGGTGCTACTCAACTGATGTCAATATTGACCACATGTATTCAATAGCTCGGTACTAACCGATCAATAGTTTAAGCGCGTGCAACGAAGCGTGCTCGTCAGAATTTTAGGCGCAACTATCTTATATATACTGCATGAACAACGCGACTCGTTGAAGACGCTGCACTGTGTAGGCGCAGTCCTGCCCGGTCACGTTGCTACTAAACTGATGTCAATATTGACGATATGTATTCAATAGCTCGGTACTAACCGATGAACAGTAAGAGCGCGTGCAACGAGGCGTGCTCGTCAGAATGTTTGGGCGCGACTATCCGCTGCATGAACAACGCGCCTCGTTTAAGACGCTACACTATGTAAGCTCAGTCCTACCCCGTTTAGTATCGCTACTCAATTGATGTCAATGTTGTCGATTTCTATTCAATACCTCGGTACTCACTGATGAATAGTTTAAGCGCGTGCAACGAGGCATGCTCGTCGGAATGTTTGGGCAAGACTATTCGCTGCATAAACGACGCGACTCGTTATAGACGCTGCCTTATGTAGGCGCAGTCCTGCCCTATCACGTTGCTACTAAACCGATTTCAATATTGACGATTCGTTTTCAACAGCTCGGTACTCACTGATGAATAGTTTAAGCGCGTGCAACGAGGCATCTCGTCGGAATGTTTGGGCGCGACTATTCGCTGCATGAACGACGCGACTCGTTGTAGACGCTGCACTATGTAGGCGCAGTGCTCCCCGGTCACGTTGCTACTAAACTGATGTCAATATTGTCGATTCGTTTTCAATAGCTCGGTACTTACTGATGAATAGTTTAAGCGCGTGCAACGAGGCGTGCTCGTCGGAATGTTTGGGCGCGACTATCCGCTGCATGAACGACGCGACTCGTTGTAGACGCTGCACTATGTAGGCGCAGTCCTCCCCTGTCACGTTGCTACACATCTGATGTCAATATTTTTGTAATATTACAACACTGGTACAATTTGTTCATCTCACATCAAATAAAAAAAAGGATTTTCATTTCAGACACTAATTTGGATCGTACTACGATCGTACTTGTTGTTTACTTCAGTTTACTTTTTCTATGCACTATGACAAAGTTAAAGTAGTACAGTAAATTGTGTTCATTACTCTTATATATTTTTTGATAGAGTTTCCAATGTTAAAGAACATGATAAATAAATATTTAAATAATTTTCAACTCACACCAATTAGCCTAGCCTCAAAGTTTTGTGTTATGGTATTGTATTGGTAATGAATAAATACAAAATACAATGAATATATATTTATTTATAATTATAATTACTTGTTATGTTACGTAATATAGGTAAAACTATTGTAACTAATATTGCAGGTTACGAAAAGTAGATTTAATTAAATACTATGGCTTTTATGACAAAACTTAACCTGACATAATCATACTTACAAATTCTTTGTTATCAGGCGTCTGAGACTTAGATACACATTTGAGATTCCATATCGAAGCAAGTATTCTTCCAACATAGATGTATAGCCCGTTGTGTTTAGCGCTGTATTCTTTCTGCACTGGGTAATTCGGATCTCTTTGTTGCTGAGTAACATTGAACGAATTTTGGTTGAATGGTGTAGGACTCATTACATTTTGCTGAAAAGACTGCGGCATCATGGAATGGTTGGGTGACCCTAGGAACGACTGATTCGTACCACCCTGCTGGTAAGATTGGTTCATTTTCGGTTGCATTTGCCCTTGTAGACCCCTCATGGACATTGGTGTTGACATTTGACGAGGTGAGAACTTTGGCGACCCTGAAATTAGAGTTAGCTAAAATTGCTTTTCATAATAATCCATCGTTTGATAAACTAATAGTAAACAGATAATACCACAAAAATTTATCGTTGGTTGACTGCCATATAAGAAGAAAGCTCGAGTCGCCCATTCGCTGATTGTGAGGTCGCTGGATGAAGTGTCCTCGCAAGCTAAATACAACGCGCATGCGCATGCTTGCTCTACGCTATGAAGCTGTGAACAATATAGAAGATCGAGTACAATATAGAAATAGTATAAGCAAGCCAACAAAAAAATCATACAGTAATGACTTTACAGAATATGAATTCAATCTTTCTCCACTGCATAAGTATAGATTAGCATCTTCCTTAATTAAAACTTATGCTAATAATTGGGGAATGGCATTAAATAATTTATTAAAAAAAAATTGAATTGCTTATTTTTGTATTTATGCTGATAGAAAGGTAAGTCAGAAAACGAGGTAACATAATTCAGTGAGTCTCATTATGTTTGGCCTAGCTGTGTCATGAAGGTACGTAGGTGCTACTTTACTATGAGATTCACAACAATGTATCCAGCCTATGCTCTTTACAGTAGGCCTAATGCCGGCACTTTATTGACTATTCGTGTTTGCTGTTTGTAAACTTGACATCAAATTTCTTTTTCATTCCTTATAAAGCATGATAAGGACATACTGTTGTCAAGTTTACAAACAGCAGATACAAATTTGTTTGAGATGACGTGGCCGATTGGTTTGTACGCCGGGTTTCATGGGGTCGCCTAATCGAGAGGTCCCGGTTTCGAATCCCGGTGGGGGAAGCTGTTTGTGTGATGAATACGAGCATTTGTACTCCAGTCATGGATGTTAAGTATGTATTTCTATATAAATATACTTATATATGTATTCTATCCGTTACTCTAATATACCAAAACACAAGCCTACAAAGCTTACTTTGGGGCTAGGCTAATAGGTGTGTTTTCAAAAAAAATATATTCAAGTTAAGTGCCGGCATAAGGCGAAGTTTGTTTCGCGCAACTCACCCCAGTATCAGATTACCTGGAAAAAGTCCTTGATAGTATGAGCATCGGGTCCCCGGCAATCACGCAACAAGGTGCGTAATATATCCGGCGCGGCTCCCGCAGCCAGTATCGCCGCTCCTGCCCCCGTCACTACCGCCCATCGAGACACGCTCCACACCTCTGCGGATAACATTACTAATAATATAGATCCCTTTACAAACAAAACTAAGAGCTGTATTCAGAGAATTTACTGCTTCTCAAAGTGCTGTGTTGTCTAATTGCATTGCTATCAAAAACTGCTAATTGAAGGTCGTTGGATTAGGAGTTTTTGGAGCAGTATTTCGAAAGTTCGCAAATTGTCTCATGCATGATGTAAATTGAGATGTCAAATTTTATGGATTTTGCAATTTAATATGTTTTTCTTTTTCAAGGCTGTTTTATATGGCTGACAGTATGCAGAGTTGGTATGCAGAGTGTAGTATTAGGCTCAGCTTAGGGCCAATCAAAGGAGAGATCTTTGGGGAGGCCTATGCTAAGCAAAGGGAGCAGTAGCCGAACGGAAAACGAGATACTTTTACAACAATAAAACTAAGATGTGCACGGATAATTATCTGCTTCTTGAAATAATGTAGTACCTAATTGTATTATTTAGTATCTATTGTAGTATCTAATTGTGTTACTATCGCTAAGAAAGTAAATTGAAAGTCGTTAGCTCCAGAGTTTTTGATACGAAAACATAGATCACGAATAATTTATCAGGCGCCACCCCCGCAGCTATTATAACCGCCCCTCCCCCGTCACTACCACCCATCGAGACACAACAATATCAGATTTGGTATAGGCTAATATAAGAGAATCACACCAAAATCAGGCCCTATGGCTGATATTTTTTTTTAATTCAACAAGTGGAATCACCCCTCATCAGATATCCAACCTATCACTATTGATATTACACAAAGAGTCATCTATATTTCTATTACCTTAATTTCTTGATACCATAACATTTTATGAGTGCCAGATTAGAATTTCATGGACAAATAAGATATGAGAAAGAAAGAGATTGGCCGACTCCTAAGTTCGTCTATGTATTGACAGTTTTACCGTTCTTTCTAGAGACTTGTCAAATTTATCAAATTTATGTGTGTCGCTGAGTTTATTTTCTATATCTTTATCTTACCTCCACCTTACAGAGAACCACCGTAAAATATTCAACCTCCGTGGTCGAGTGGTTTGTATGCAGTGTTTCAAGGTGTCGCCTACTTGAGAGGTCCCGGGACCGATTCCCAGTGGGGGCAGATGTTTGTGTGATGAATACCAGTATTTGATCTCCAGTTATGAATGTAGAAAATGTATTTCTATAAAAATATACTTGTATATGTATTCAATCCATAACTCTAGTTTCCCTTAACACAAGCCTAAGGTGCTTACTTTGGGGCTAGGCTAATTGGTGTATGTGTTGGAAATATTTATTATAGTTATAATTTTTATTATTTTAAAGCATGTAACTGCTTGATGTTTAAATCTAAAGAAAATATAACTAGAAAAAATTCCACGCGGACCAGGCAGCAGACGGGACTCGAACCCGCACCCTTCGCAATCCGGGCGAATGCACTGACAATTATGCTACCGCGGCCCTCACGGACCGCATCGAAATTCTTCTAGCCATTCTTAAGCTGCAAGGCAGCGCCATCTCTTCGCATTATAGGTAACCCACAATGTCAAATGAATACTTTTACAAGCATTAAACATTTGAAAGAAGAAATAGCAATTATAGTTATAATTTTTATTATTTTAATACTTGTAAAAGTATTCATTTGACATTGTGGGTTACCTATAATGCGAAGAGATGGCGCTGCCTTGCAGCTTAAGAATGGCTAAAAGAATTTGGACGCGGTCCGTGAAGGCCGTTCGAGTCCCGTCTGCTGCCTGGTCCGCGTGGAATTTTTTCTAGTTATATTTTCTTTAATATTTATTATTATTATTTATTTTATAGTGTTCTTCCTATCAGTAACGTTCCAGGACTTCATGGGGTAGGAGATTGGGTCATAACAGGCAACAGCGCAAGTGATATTTTTGATATTGCAAACGTTCTTAATATCAGGCGAGCCTTATGCTAGTTTGCATAACTTAAAAAAATAGTGTAAACTCACCTTTCCTTGGGCGAAGTGCTTGCGACAAATGGGCGGATTGTTGCGGTGGCAGTGCCGTTAAAGCCCAAGCTGGCCCGTCTAACGCCAGTAGAGTATGAGCCTCACTAAACCCAGGCCCAGGCAACACGCGAGACAGACACCAAAGGGTCTCCGCCTCGCCCCCACCGCCCGCGGAACATATCATCACTAGTGATCCTGTGCCAACAACAACATTAAACAGATCTTACAAGGTAAGGCGCGGGACACAGAAAAAACGTAGACGTAAGACGCAGGCAGGGCGCGGACGATATGTCCTTATGATTCAAAATGTATCGGTGCGTCGCGACCACGGAGGAAAAACAAAGAGGAGCTGGCCTAAGCAACTGTGCACTGTGATTTTCAACTAGGTCCTGACGTCATAATTGTGGGCGGGGCCTAAGTCAGTATGCTTTCAGCGTTCGTCAGGTGCACACTTAACGAGACTCGCATTATAAGTGTTTTTTTGCGTTTTTAACAAGAAGAGGATGAAGTTTTGTGTTTTACTATGTCAAAGTTACTCAGACAGACGTTCTGATAATATGGATGGCATCACATTTCATTTGTAAGTAATTTTATACGTAATTAAATATATAAGTTCTAGAACATTCTCAGCCTCAGCTATCAGCGTTAAAATTCTACTACTTGACACCAGATGGCGACACTTTTAGGAAGAAAATACACAAGTTTACGTATAATTTTTCAGTAGTATATTGTAATAATCATACGTAAATACTGAAAACTGTTATACACTTATTCCTAAATAACTTTTAGTATCTAAAACAGTAATTTTATCAATATATTACTAACTGGCCGCCATCTGTCGTCATATAGAATAACTTTTTAAACGTTACAAATATCCAGGGCCGTAATACGTATTAAATTATTTTACCAAGTAAATAAATTTTAATTATTTTTATGTTCGTTTTAGATTTTCATCCAACGATAATTTAAAACAGCAATGGATTTCAAAACTTAATAGACCGGATTGGACACCATAGAAGAAGAAGATATTTCCATTTTAAATGAATCTTCTGTGCAAAAAATTAATATTACATCAGAACGTTATCGCATTTTAAATAAAATGAGTTTCGAGTCTTCGGATAGCACGGATGTCGAGCCTATGCCTGACGATATGTTATTGGAATTTGATGAACAATTAAATACAACTATAGGTGACTATTTGCGCCGTCAAATAGTAGCATGTATTTCTGGGTATGTGGTCAAATATTTACATTCCAAGATCAAATGTGAGAGCTGTCTCAAAGAATTATATGCTGATAACTACGACGATAGTGACCTTGATTTGATAAAAACTAAAAATAAGGGTGGTCTTACTTTCCCATCTAGAGATGTCATAAAAATATGTATACGGACCGAAGGCAGTATTCGTTGTGTTAAATCGCAATCTTTGAATACTCCTAACTTTCGTAAACATAAAATTGTATCGAATACATTAAAATCACTTATTGGACAAGATTGTTTCAAAAAATCAGCCAACCATATATTTGACCAATCACCTACAGTTAATCATGTTGTATTTCTGATGAAATCGATTGCAGAAAAATATATTGATATTCGTTTTAAGCATTTTGCCACAATACAAAACGATAGGGCAACCAACCGACAACAACTAACCAAAACTATTATTTACAGGTAATTGATGTTTTTTAATAAAATTATGTTTGTAATAACATTTTGTCTATTATTTTTAAACTACCTTAAAATTTAAATCTAAAGAAAATATAACTAGAAAAATATCCACGCGGACCAGGCAGCAGACGGGAGCGGGTGCGGGTTCGAGTCCCGTCTGCTGCCTGGTCTGCCTGGATTTTTTTTCATCAAGCAGTTACATGTTTTAAAATAATAAAAATTATACCTTAAAAATTTTAAAATCGGTCAAATTTGTTAATGTTTATTTTATTTATTTACCTACATATTTCATTTTTTTGAAGCTTCAAGTTCTGAGTACGTCCAATTATATACAAAACTTTTGAACATCTAGTGTTAGATAGCTGAACTACTACGTAGTAACATAAATATCAACCTAAGCTAGTTTTGCTATTAGCCGATAGATGAAATATTGAGAAGTGGGCGGAGCTGAACACCCCGCATCCCGCAAATTATCACGCGTCGTTTCTTGAGAAAATTTAATCACCACACCTCCTCTTTGTTTTTCCTCCGTGGTCGCGACGCACAATTTTGAATCATAAGGAATATATATATACATAACATTTTGAATCATAAGGAATATAAAACATATAGCAGACAGGGCGCAGAAAGTAACGAAAAGCGTGGATTCACAATGGAAGATGTTCGATTATATTTGTATACTAGTTTAAATTTATTTTATATGTATATATACTATGACGAAGAATTTTTTAGGCCTCTTGTTATACTAATATATCAATGTATCATGTATCAATCAATTTACTTGTCCTTGTCTAGCAATGCAACAATCTAGCAAATTGATCACACTTGGCTGGGCAATACAATGCATTTTATATTTAAATAAATATTCATCTGTGATTTCTTACCATTTTCATAGACTGCACTATGAACTTGTTTTGGCCTAAGTACTGAAGCGTTGGGAGTGAACCCAGGTGGAAGTCGCACATGTAGCAGCGTCAAATACTGCGGCCTCTGCGTACCACTTTGGTTCGCACTGTAAAAATGAATTGGAGTTCAATTAATTTGTGACTAACCATATAACATAACTCCACTTATATATTTGATTTAAAACTTACTCCCCACTTCCAGTACTAAAATACAATCTTGCACCAGTTTGGGTGACAGCTACCAGATTTAAGTGTTCCGACTCTGATTCATCAACTGCAGAAATAGCCACAACTGGTTTGAAGTTATTAGGTTCTAAGGTTCTGTCAACAAATAAATATTTTTTTAATGTACTTCATGTACAAAAATATTCACACAAATGTGAATATTTTTAAAATAACTCACTTGACAATATCTATAGCAGATGAAACTATTTTCCCTTGGGTTAATCTGTCTACCCTACTGATACCTTCACCATCGGCCCCTAAATCATATACCTCTATACAGCCCTTTTCACTCAAAGTATATAAAATGTTTCTGGAGTTGTCAACCTCAATTTTCACAATTGGATCTTCATCATATAGAGCAGCATTTAGAAATGAAGGTACCAAGAAAGATAAGGCACTTGTGGAATGGTTAACTTTTTTGCAATGTTTCCCAAACCATCCTAGCTGAGCCTGTAAAAAAATTAAATAAAATAAAATATTTGTAAATTCTATGAATAATCCAAATTGTCTAAGTCCTAATACTTTCAAATATTGCATAGTAGTGTAGGGCTGTTAAAGCAAGTATATTTTTATAGGAATTTGCTTGGTGCCATTCCTTTTGTGTATTGAAATATATATTTTACCTGGTATGTGATTTCATATAAGCAACCATCTTTGCCTCCCATGAAAATTCGTCCATTAGCAGTTGACTTAACAGACATCATTGATATCCCATCTGTGGGTAAAACAAACACCGGCTCTGGTACTAAGAGTATCTCTTGAAGTTCAGAGGACCCATCAGTCTTACTTGATGAAAAGGTGACACCTATAAATTTATAATCATAATATTATATACAACAGCAAACACTATCAACATTTTCAAACAAAGTTGTTATAATACTTACCCAAGACAACAATTTCAACTGTAGTTGTTAAGACTAAAAGATATTTAACAAAACTTTGAAACACCCCTGCTTTAGGTTTGACTAGGCCCACACTGACTATGGTTTCACCAAGTCCATCAAAATAAGCAACATCGCACCCATGTTCAAAAGCCCAAACATAAATATTACTGTCTATTGCCAACCAAACACGGCTGATTTCTGGAAATACTCCCATCAAACAGTGGCATTGCATATCTAAGTCATTATTTAAGGAAAATTATTAAAAATATCATTTAAATTAAAAAAAAAGTATTTGGTAGAGTCAACAAAGTATTTATATTAATATCATTCTTTCAGTTATTAAAAAGAAAACATCTCATAAGTGGCTAAGCTAATGTTCATCTCATTTTAGAAAAAACACAGTGGCGGTGTCAAACCTATCTGGTATGTGCACTTCTTGCAGATTTAAACAATTTCATCATTTTGGTATCCAAATCTTCAAACATAAAGACTGCTGTGCGAATCTTAACATTGTAACAACAAATAGAGGTTGCTAAAAATTTTTTTATGTGCAATCAGCAAGAATATTATCAAATACGCATTGATCTATGATGATCTATAATTTAAAGTTATATTTTTCGCACATAGCAGACATAAGTTTGACAGCGACGATAATTTACTTGGGATTGAATAATATTCCTAAAAAAATATCAAAAAGGATACGGGCAAAGTGTTCCATTATTTCCGGTGGCAATGGAACCTTGTTCAATATCTTCAATTGAGATAAGTTTGGATGGTTCAATAGTGCAGCTAGGTTTCGATAGTCTCCAGCATTTAGGCCACTGCATGTTGGAGTTCGTTGAGCGGCTATACCAGTGATCTATAAGCAAAACCAAACCGTGAGTAATTGTCACATTAGTAGCACCACTTTCGAAGACCGAAAAATGCGAACGAGTCCCCGCATCATGTAAAAATACCTCTAAAAACGAAGGGCGCGAATTATCGGAGCTAATGTACCGGTCCAGAGCGCAACCAGCTAATTCTAAGCACTCGAGTTGCATTTTGCTGCTATCTATTGGTCGAGATACGTCTGTAGTGCTATTTATTACACTTGGCATCTAAAATAAACATGATAAAAACACAATTTACTGTTTTGATATTTTTTGAGGTTAAACTATTGTAATGTCAAATTGAGAAATGACAATTAATTTTACCTTTTATTTTCAATTAGGCTTCGGCATAAAATTATACTAATAAGCAAATGCAGAAATTCACCTCTCATTTAAATACATTAAATAAACAATTGATAAATTCATAAGTCCAAGTAAATTGATTCAAAATATTGCTTTTGATTTGAAAGCAGAAATCACAACGGATTTATCTTTTGTTTGTAATAATCCTTTGGACAAGGCAAAGGACACTATGTCCGTACAGCCAAATCTTTTGTATTGTTATTTTTCTGATCTTTATGATTCAGAAAACGGATGTAACAAGTGTAATCTATCAGTATGCAATATATTTTGATATTTCCTCGAGTGATTGACAAAATGTCAGCTTTATCGATAAGCTTCTGTGAAGTAATCAGCACCACAGTATAGTTCACCGAAACAGCAACTTGACCGAAATTACTTATCTTTCATTGATTCTACTAATTTTTCAGTTGCGGAGACGGTTGTAATTGTAACACAGAATAATTAACACATGACGCGAGGCGCACTCGCACTCTATAAAATCCTTAGATGAAGTCTCGCCTAAATAAAAGACTGAAAATTAAAAAATAAGATTTATTTTACTGACTATTTGGATTAAAGTCGATGTTTATTGGAGTTTTAGAGTCTGTGGAATGGGCGTGGCGAAAAACGGAACTAACATTAAGATTTTTATTTGGCAATCAAAACCAGCAATCCGTAAAACTTCAAAGTTTTGTATTGATACGGATTTGTTTGTTGTTGTGATTTCTTGCGGTTTTTTTTTGTATTTAGAAAAGCACTACAGCGCCCTCCAATCTAAATCCCATTCTTTTTCCGCACAGACTGTAGCATGATCTCCCTGTCGCGACCCTCTTGGGGGCGGGGCTGCTACATGCACATGCAACCGTTATACAAACGTATCCATTGCGGATCGCGAGATTGTAGACAATAGACACGAGACAAAGGGGAATCGAGTGACACTGAGTGACACAGGGTGGTTACTTACCACAGATTATATTGTATGTACCTTCAATCACCAGCGAATGTCCGTTCATGCCTCTCATCACTTTCTTACTCCATCTGTAAGTATAAATAAAGTTATGACACCACTGCGTGGTGCCACTAAGTCCCGGAGTCATACAATCACAACGGTATGATTCCAGGAATCATAGAACACATAAATATTGTCATAAATAAGTATCAAGATTATCTGTAGGCCAATTACCCATGTTAACTCAAGTATCTACGTTAACTGTCTAAACGATGCGAAGATTTCCTAACGTGACTTTCTGCCATGTATGTCTTACGCTCCTGCAGAGCGGTGTGACCATGAGAGCCAAGACCATCGCCTGCTCCCCACGCAACCCGTGCATGCGTTCGCCCACATGCACGAGCCGCGTCGCCCACTTATATGGCACTTCTGTGGAAAGTCTTCCATCTGGCTCAGCCACTATTCCAGCTCCGTCCAGACATAGCGCTGCGCATGCCATAACTCTCTCTTGTGGTCTTTCGGTAGGGTACCCTAGGACTTGCCTCCAGCAGAAGCACAAGCCCTCATATTGTTATAATTATGTCAATGCCACAGGCGTTTAACGCCCTTACGCCGCCGGCCCTTTCGCCGTGTGAGAGAGTATCTAGTTACTGTACTGGTATACCCAGGTACATTTTGTCTAAAAAGTCGTGACATTAAATGATGGCGCCACTAGTATGCATGTAGCAAACCTATACAGTCGGACCAAAATGATTTTGATACTAGCAGTTCATTCAAGTACAATAGGTAATTAATAAGACACACTATACAGACGTATTTTGTTTCTGTTTTATATATAGTAGGTACCTATGCTTATAAAAAGTTTAGCCAAGCATATTTAATTGAGTCAAAATAAAATCATTGAAGTTATACTTCTTTAGCCGCGTTATGAAAAAATGATGAGAGTGAAATTTTAAGATGCGCGCGCATCACTGTAACACAATAGTAACACCATGAAGTTGGCCGCGGGCGCGTTATGAATGTTAGTGTCTAATAATGGTGGAATATTAACCACTAAGTGGTTATTAGACATCTGTTCGAAAGGTACTTTGAACGATCCACGGAGCTCCATAAGATGATCGCGTTGTCAAAAACAATGTTGGCACGCTCGTCGCCTCGGATCACTGTTTTCATATTTATAATATTTATCCACATGTTTCTAGTTTCTATATAGACACAACGTGTTTTAGTTACTTACAAGTGCTAATTACATATGGACTAATAACTTAAATTCAGTAGTGATTTTAATTGAATATTTTGAATATTTATTTAATTTTTCAAATTAAAACTGAACTTAATTGACTGTGTTAACTATCCTTTTCCAGTCCTTTTATTATTTTATTGTAATTATTAATTATTTGCATGCAATTAAAAAATATTTTTAATGATGCTAAAGAAGTATAACTTCTCACGCGCGTACATAAGTTACACGCATCCATTTTTTTTTATAGATAAAATAGTACTTTATAGTGTAAAAGTGTGTAATGTTGGTGATTACCGCTGAGGTGCCATTGAGACCAAAGCCGTTAGGTAATCATCAATACACACAAGTATCATCATACGACGTTTTTAACACACTTGTTAAGAAAATAATATTAAAAATCATTTTATAGTATATAAAAAGTTTATCTAGAGAAACAATTTGTAAATGTGCAGTTAGTAAAATTAGTGATACGTATCTTCACTAAAAGCATCTGGCCATGGTTCTTTATGTGACCATTTCTTTCTTTGGTCGGCCTTGCTTGTTTTCCCAGGAGTTTCAAACTTTCCATCATTCTTAAAACCTTAGTTGACTATCCAACTCACCGATTTTCCTGAAAAAAAAGTAAAAAAATATGTAACGGATTAGAAACAATAACTTATTGACATGAAGCAATTAATTCAAAATTGGTAGAAAACCTGACCGAGTTGAACCATAATAACGTATCAAAAGAAATGGTCGTACTACAATATTACCTATTTATAATGGTGTCGATTCTGGCAGGATTCTCTAAACTTAAAACTAAATTTGACATCAGTCTGTCCTTTTCATTTTGTATAGAGAATGACAAAGATACACTGTTGTCAAATTTAAGTTTAGCTTTAGAGAATCGTACCAGAATCGACATCAATGTCAATCTAACCTAAAAACGTGCAATGTAAACAATGTCTTTTTTGGTCTCAAAATCGTAAATTGAATAAATTTGTAACTTCAGGCAGATTACAAACAAATAGTTACACGATTACATACCCGTCATAGATGCTGTTCGCCCATAAACATCATCCAAATCCCACAAAATTCGTCCAGCTTGGTAGTCTTCGAAACATCGCTGGAAAACTTTAAAAATCACTTGCCGCGTGCCACTCCGATTTACTTTACTCATTTTTATACCTTTCTGCGTAGTTTCGTCTTAATTTATTACAGTTTAATCCAAACAATAAAAAATAAAAAAGGAAAACTCGTCCACAACTGAAACTCGATGACAGCTGATGTACATAAGTTTGGTGTTGCCAGACACATGAATAATGTTAGTTCCTCAAACATTCATGTCACGACTTAATAGACAAACTGTACATAGGTTAATATCAAGTGCGCAGGTAGGCGCTTATTTTCATACATACAAACTTTTCATGAGATGCAAACAGGCTATCATTTATGTGAACTATTCTACTACTTAGCTATCGTTGTTCCGTTGGTTCTCGAGCTCGTAGATAGGCACGTATCAGGTAGGCACATTTTCATAGTACATAGCAGTTATTAAATACAGGTACAAAGTAATCACAGTATGTTAGTTAAAATAGCACAACAAAAAAGAAGAGAAAAAAGGTGATATGTGTTGCCACCTCAAACATCGCGATTGGTGTTGCCGTCGCGACACTCCCTGCCAAGTACATAGCTTGGTATCGACTTCAAATATATTTCAGCCGGTAAATCTTATTTTTAAATTTTCAGTTTATTTGAAGTCGGCAACGTTAATATTGTTGGAAGTGGGTTCTAATTTTATTGTGTTTTTTTTAATGTAATACGCTCGCTCTTCCAATCGATCTACGTGGGTGAAACCGTGGGACACTTCTCGTATATTATGTGTTGTTGTTTTAGAGGGGTATACTTGAATGCAGCGATAGTCGATGCGGCACCCTGTAAAAATCTCAACACAGTCTATGTTTCAACCGAGTCAAAGGCTTTCTCATAGTCCACAAACGGTAGTCATAGTAGCAAGTTATATTCATCAGTGTTTTGTATAACCTGCCGCAGCTAATGGAAATGGTCCATGGTACTGAAACCTTTCCGAAATCTAGCTTGTTCGGGATACTGTTCGTCTAATCTATTAATGAGACATTTTGTAATGACCCTCAAAAACAACGTGTTGATGTGCCTCAGTAGTGAAATAGGTATGTTGTTCTTCATTAGAGTGTTTTAACCTTTTTTAGGGAATGTGCCGCAACACTGAAAAATTTTACGTACTGGTTTTTCAATCGCTTTCATGAGTTCTGCTGTGATTTCGTGATCCTCTGGCGCCTTGTTGTTCTTCAGTTATTTGATAGCAATATAAATCTCGTATAGGCTTACGAGAAAACGTATCTTCAGTAGAGTGTAGTGTTAATTTGGCTCTAGGGTCTTTAATCAAACCATCAACAAGTTTCTGTGTAGAAACTCACAACCCATCTTAATATCTCTTTCGCTTTGAATATAAGATGTTGTTAAAGGAACGTCAAAGAATGTTCCTTGCTGGTGCCGATTCTTCGTGGGTAATTAAGGCTGCTGTCATTATCATCATTATCTTCAGCCATTTGTTGTCCGATTCTGGACATAGGCCTCGTCCAATTCCTCTGAAGTGGAAATCCACGAGATTTTCTGTTGTTACGGGACTTCCACTCCAACAAACGCTCCTCCCATATAGAGACGCACGGCGATTACGGAGATCACGACTTTCAGTCCCTTTTTTTTCTTCCTGTTACTGCTCAAGGCTATGTAGTAAGGCAAGCAAACGTCTAAAGTTACAGTAAGGTATAGGACCAAGCACTTCCGTGAGCACCATTACCGGAGTATAATAACAAGATAAGTCTAACAGAAATCAGAGTTGGTTTTATATTTTGTTTAATAAAGCTTCGTGCTAAGCTCCATGCCCATTTTTATTTGTGCTACGTATAATTTTAATAAACCGACGCTCACTCCCACATCAGAGAAAATTATCATGAAATATTCAGCAAGAAATAAGTAGGTAGGCTATTTAATATAATATTGCTTCAACTAAGGCTATAGCGTTCCTTTCGTCGGAATTTTGTAAGACCTAGGTAGTCAGGAGTCATTTAATTTTGGTAGCCAAGTAGACCTAAAAGTTTAAGCAGACAGTACAACTGTTTAAATCGCGCCAGCGTCTCGTTGCCGTCCCGCCCCACCTGCTGTCTGATTGAACCCTATAAGGCTGCAAAAATTAACCCGGGCGGTCGCGCCGCGGCGCGACAGAGCCACTCATGGCGCTGTAAACTTACGTATACGATTGCCGTTGAACACTGCAAGGAGGGCCTTGCAAGTAGTGCTCTAAATTATCTTAGTTTAAAATATACTAGTAGTGTCCCATGGTTTTACCCGCGTAGATCTGCGCGTATAAAATTTTCCAACCAGTGGCATATTGCGCTTTCCACTAAAAATGGATAAATACAATATTTTATAAAAAAAACAGGCTTAAAAAACTAAAAATGATAAAATTTGATATACCATTGGCATGTATTATCTATATATATTACTCTTTGGGGTTGCCTGTTGTCGTGCTGGCTGAATAGCAACAGAGGGGCAGGGGGGCAGGCCATGTGTTTAGCAGGGTAATCATGTATAATGATCATGTAGGCACAGATTATAATGGTATTTACTTTTCAAATACAGCAGTCTGTAGATCTTATTTTTTAATTTTAAGTTTTTTTGAATTTGATTCGTTTTTTTATTAATGGGATCAAAGATTTATTTATTTATCTTTGTTAGGGATTTGTTTAAAATAGACTTAGGATAATGGGTAGGTACTCAAAAAGAAAAGGTAACTGGGATACGATAAGTCATGGCGTACAAAGAGAATTCAAATTTATAGATATAAAGGTTCTTCTTGAGGGTTCCCGTGGTTTTCCCATTCGGTTTTTAATGAACGGATGGTATTGTTTTTCTTAGTATATAGTAGTTTTGAAACTATGTATAAAGTAGAATCCAAGAAGTTATTTACCTAAGCGAAATCATATGTTCATGATTGGTACCATAGATTGCAACCACGTTTTGTCATGTACAGATAGATAGCAACAGTTTATCCAAAATACTCAAATGTTTCCAACAAACTTCGACCTTTATGCCACTTAAAATAACATTAATAATCGCTTTATCTTTTGTCTGTTTGTACGACCTTAACGATTACGAGACTTCAATTTTAGTTACAAGGTAATATTAGGAAAATTATTAAAATAACTGTTTTCCTCTATGTTGAACAACAAGATCATTTAATCGAGCACCTCGATTAAAGAAACAGAATATTTTAAAGTCATTCGAGAATTTCAAATTATAATCACAAAAGAAAAAATTGCAGTTGTCACATAAGTACAATCCAATTTGTTTATTAATTTACATTTTGATAGAAGAAAAGATGAATCGTATCAAAATCGTATAATGCAAAACTGCCAAGCGTGAACATTATATTTGTGCACAACCAACAAAAGTTGTAAACTATTGAGTACTAGACACAGCAATTTTCAAATACGTTACCTTTCCTGTAGGGACTATGTTGCGAATAAATTTATCAGTATCTTGTAAAATCTCATCACCTTTATCTAGGGTTTTGCTCAAAAATGTTGCTGTACAAGGTGAGTGCTATCCTTACTAACATTATATGCGGAAGTGTCTGTCTGTTCCCTCGTCATGCTTAAACCGCTGAACCAATTTAGATGAAATTTAGTGAACACATAGTTTGAGTCCAGGGAAAAGACATAGATGGCTTTTATCACAGAAATCATCTTTTGAAGGGGGGAAAAATAAATACATGTATGTACATATACATATTTCATTTACTAGTTATGAGAGAAAGAAAAAACTCTATTTACTTTTAAGTTGTCCTTCCATTAATATTGCTGGCTGCCTGCGAATTCGACTTTGGTTTTTGAAAATCCTTCAGGCACATTATTCCGGGATATAAAGGATCAGTTCTTTCAGCTATCTGTGTGTCATACACCAAAATCTGCTTTAAATTGCAATGTTTTAATATTCCGTATTATCATCAGTAAGGTGCCATCAACCACATGGTCACATAATCATTCCGCGCGCTCTATGCTCGTGCTTCAATGAGGTCAACTGTCGAAGACTATCCACAAATATGAGACAAAGTGAACCTACACAACCAAAAGTAAAGACATCAATCCCTGGACCAAAATCCTTGGAGTTATTAAGGGAACTGAATTTTATACAGGTACCGCAGTAAAGCGATCTCTCCTCTCAATATTTTTTTAATTGGGCGACCAATCGTCCCGAAAGCCATCAACATTGAATTAGGCCACGGGATTCCTTCACCAGTAAGGGTCCGAGATCGATTTTAACGAACCCAACTGTATCCCCTCGTGAGGGAGAATATTGAGGATACCATGGGCTTCCTTCCCTAACCTTGAACAGAGCCTATGCAATACAGAACCTGGACCCCTATGACGTCTGACAGAGCCATAATAGTTATAAAATATGAAATAAAATGCAGTTGAATATTTTAATGGGATTTTTAGTTTAACTGAGTGAGATACTCTAAATTATGTTAATAGTTCTTAGAAATGTGTAAATTTTTAGCAAGCTGGCTCGGTGCAACTATTTGTAGATTATAACCAAAGTTACGGTAATTATTTAGTAGATGCGGATGGTAATGAATTTTTGGATGCTTTTACTCAAATTTCATCAATACCGATTGGTTATAATCATCCTGAACTACTGAAAGCTTTTGAGGATCAGCAAAACCTGGTAAGTACAATTACTTATATACCTAAGTTTTTTCTCACGTCATCCAGTCATTAAGTTTCGCCTTGCATTTACGGATAGGAAACTAATATCCGTAATACTTTATAAAAGATTTATTATTTATAAAAGCTGTAATGCACAAATGTCTTTTATCAATAGTAGGTAGTTCTATGGGGCACCGTTGGGAAAACTCTACTTTTAATTAAGACAGGAATATAGTGTAGTGTAATTGCTTGTGTATTATTCAAAACGAGATTTTTTACAAAATATGCAATCAATTTTGCAGCGATCATTAATCAACAGGCCAGCTCTCGGTGTGTTTCCATCAATGGACTGGCCCGAAAAATTAAAAAATGTTCTACTATCCGTGGCACCTTGTGGTCTGAATAATGTCATGACAATGATATGTGGTGCTTGCTCCAACGAGAACGCATTTAAAGCAGTATTTATTTGGTATCGAACTAAACAGCGAGAAGGCAGCATACATTTTACTGAGGAAGAAATCAATACTTGTATGTGGAATCAGCCCCCGGGTTCTCCAAAACTATCCATCATGTCTTTTAAGGTGAGGGTCTTAGGTGATAGGATAGAAGAGGTTTAGGCATGAATGTAGTATCTTGTAGAAAAAGTAAGCTCCCATACATTCTCTTGTCAATAAATCATCCAACTGATGAGATACCCAGTGTATCCTTTTATTGTTTGTAATTTTAAAAGGAACACTTTATTTAATTTCTTAATTTAACCATTTTAAGGGCGGATTTCACGGTCGTACATTCGGATCTCTTTCTACAACAAGGTCAAAAGCTTTACATAAACTAGATTTTCCAGCGTTTGACTACTGGCCAATGGCTTCGTTCCCAAGATACTTATATCCTTTAACCGAGAACTGCTGTGTAAATCTAAAAGAAGACGACAGGTAACTATAGGACAGTCAAATATTTGCTCGAATCGAAACATAGTTATAAAATCGTTGTCAAGATTCATATTACTGAGAAAAAAGAACAGAAAGAGGACCTCTTCCTTTGTTCTGTGACTTGAATATTATATAAACTTAATTTCCTGCCATAAGTTAGGTACCTACCCAAATACTCAGAGGCCCCAAAAATGTAAAGCAGTTGTATGAGGCGATTTTTAAAAATCTGTGAATTATTAAAAAAAAATATATTCTTTCAGTAAAATATGCTATCTTCAATATTTAATATACTTTCCCTCCGTGTGGGGTAGCCATGGGACGTCCTGTATATAAATCTTTATCCGCATATGATACTAATCGAATAGGGGCGGAGCAACGATATTCAATACCCTAGATACAACACCAGCACTCAAAAATATGTCCCAAGCTTTTTGGTCATCTTATTTATTGATTGAACAGATTACCTATTAGTTTGGGTGTTTTGATTAAATATGGGTGTAAGTTTGTATATTTAATAATAATCTATTTAAGCCATAAGCATTTCAGTCTTACTTTAAGAAGCCACAACGAATTAATCATACAAATAATTTGAAATCGTAAGCAGATTAACAAAATATGACATCGTAATATAAAGAAATCCTTGCGCGCCTCGAAGAAGCTATATTTGCAAAAAGAAAATATCGAAACAAAAAATAAATCTTAAAGACAAGTTTATAATAAATGAAACTTGTTCCAGGGTACATAAAAATAAATCATTGAATAATAAGCAGGTTTTTTTTGTAACATTAGCATCTACGTGTAGATTAAAAACCATATTTTGTCATAGTTATAACAAAATATTGTTTTTGACCTTCACCTTATTCCCATTTGCACATCCTTAATATGTATGCTTCTTGTATTCTTTTTAGTGTGACATAATATTATCATTTGATCTTTCATATTATTTTTGCTTTAGAAGGTTTCGTCATTAAACATGTATGTATTATGTATTTATGATGTATTATGAAGACAGATAACTAACTACTGGTGAAACGTTCATTGAATAATTATCATAAAAAAAACGAGTGTGCTTATAACCACACAAGTGAAGTGAAACTTCTTCAGCTCCATCTGTATGTATATATTTATATTTATATATATGTGTACAATATATACATGTATGTACATACATATACATATTTCATTTACTAGCTATAAGAGAAACAGAGAAAGAAATTGTTCGCGCGCACTGCTCTCTCTTGCTTATATCCCCCACTCAACTCTTCGTACGACGACACTTTTCGTAACGCGTAACGCATTCGCGAGCTTACCCCCCAAGTCAATCGTGCGTAAAGAATTCATAATTCATAATTCATTTATTCATTTGTACAAATGCGGTAAAAACATAAAGGTGTACTATCAGATAAGTTCAGCACATTTACCATTTCTGGCATACAAATTTTTTACTTACAATCTAAAATTTTGAAAATCATAAATAACGAAATATAGCATGCATGCCTATCAATTGGAATAGTTTAATAATAACAAAAGCTAATGAATTCAATGAACAATGTCAATATTATCAATTAAATCAAAATTATTCCATTATGTCAAATAATATTAATAAATAATACAATACTTCAAAATAACATAAAATTAAATTCGGTAAAATAAAAACAATAAAATTAATATAACAATAATAAGCCATTGAAAAAATATATTATAAGTATATAAAAAAAAGTATTACAATTTATTTAAGTAGTCCGATAGAGAATAATAACATTTACTGACTAACCATTCAAATAATTTGGTTTTAAATCTATTTGAAGGCAAACTTACAATTTCACTGGGTAGACTATTGAATATTTTTACCGACATAGCGTAACTATTTCTACCATACACCTCCTTTCTTAGCTGTGGCATTACCAGATTGTCAGGAAATCGGGTTCGAAATTGGCAGACATCCTTTTTCCTTCTATATAATTGAGGATGTTGTTTAACAAAGTTACATATTTCGTATATATACATGCTAGGAAGTGTGAGCAGATTTAGCTCTTTAAATAAGGGTTTGCAGGAAGTTACGGGAGACACGTCTTTTATTGCACGAATACATTGTTTCTGCGCAATAAATGCCCTTTGAATTTTTATTGAGTTTCCCCATAGCACAATGCCGTATCTCAAATTAGACGCTACATAACCGTGATAAGCCTTCAATGCCGTTTGCAAACTAGTCACTTTTGCCAGTTTCCATAGCGCGTATCTAAAACGATTCAGCTTCCCACAAACATGATTAATATGGGATTTCCAAGAGCAATTGTTATCCAATATCAAACCCAAGAATGTAGCCTCATCCGATTCCATCAATTCTATATTATTGTATTGTACAGTAAGAGATTTTTTCACAGCATTTTTGTTCAAAAACTGTATATATTTAGTTTTCTCAAGGTTGACTTTGAGGTTATTAGCTTTAAGCCATATAATTATATTATTAACACATACATTTATTTCACTATTGTAAACTGATCCAACATTATCAGGTACAAGAATTGACAAATCATCGGCAAATAGAAAACATTTGTGTTTACAGCTCAACAAAATATACAATAGTGGAGCCGAAATGCTACCTTGAGGAACACCGACTTCTCTTTGTTTCAGTAGTTCAGATTTGTATTTTTTTTTTCCATATTACCATCAAGTTCATGAATTTCGACATGTTGAGTGCGATTGCTTAAATAACTTGAGAGCCATTTCAGAGTTATACCACGTAAGCCATATTTATCACATTTCGTTAATAAAAGTTTATGATTCACAAAATAGAATGCTCTAGTCATATCAAAAAATATTGCTGTAGTACTGACTTTGTGATTTAGATTATCTACTATGTTATTAATCATATGAAAAGCAGCCAATGTAGTAGATTTTCCTTTCCGAAATCCATTTTGTTCAGCACATAGTATGTTATGTTTAGTAACAAAATTCATTATTCTTACATGCATGACTTTTTCAAGTATTTTCGCTAAAATAGGTATCAAAGCTATTGGTCTGTAATTTGCTGGATTTTTTTTATCTCCTTTTTTAAACAAAGGTTTAATTACAGTTTGTTATAATCTGTCAGGGAAGACACCCTGAGAAAGAGACAAGTTTGTAATATATGTCAATACTGGCGCTAGAATTAAAGAAGTATATTTAATTACCCTTGTTGAGATGTTATCGTAACCAGTAGATAATGTATTTCTAAGAGATCTGATCACCTTCAAAATTTCCTCCTCGTCGGTTGGGAACAAGAACATATTTTTATCATTTTGTTTTATATTATGTTTATAAGTATTACATTCTATATCTATATTAGTCAAATTTATAAAATAATTATTAAATATATTAGCAATGTCAGATAGATTTTCAATTTCAATGTCATTATGTGTAAGTTTCTATTTGTCAAAATTAGCCTTTGTTTGGTTAGTATACTTTTTAATAACATTCCATGCTGCTGAGCAAACGTTTTTGGCTTTGTTAATGTAAATGTCATTTGAGCGTCTTTGAGCGGAAATCACACATTTCTTAAACAGCTTATTATACTTCCAATACTTAATCTTATCTAGATAGACTTTAGTTTTGTAATATTGGAATCTAAGCTTCCGTTTAGTTTTAGCTGATATTTTTATGCCCTTCGAAATCCAGGTCGATTTTTTAGGTTTATTATGAATTTTAATTCTCTTCAGTGGAAAGCACAGATCGTAATATAAAGTGAGCGTATCATGGAAACTGTCAAAAGCCTTATTTGTATCCTGCTCAGCGTAAATTTCAGACCAAGAGAGGCTACCTATACAACTTAAGAACTTATTCATATTTTCATTACTAAGGTCCCTCTTATATATATAAAAAGGTTTTTGTTTTATTTCATTATAACTTGTGGGAACAAAAAGTAGTTGGCCAGTTTCGTGGTCTGATAAACCAAGTGGTAAAATTTCTCCTATAGAACTTTCACTTCAAAAATTTTGACCCTAAAATATTTATTACATTTTGGCAAAACTACTTATGTATTTATCATGAACGTAAAACACTTTATATAATAAGCATTACATAAAGCATTTTATATAATATAATGTAATAAAAATGTTAAGATGGTACTTAAGTCAATTAGGAAAATTACTTTGTATTCAATTTAAAATCTATGTTCCCAATGCCATATTATTACTTTCTGCATGCATCGCATTCAGAACTAGACCTAAAGTCAAGGAATAAGAGCCATGAGCCAATAAGAGCCACGCACTGTCGACTAGTCGCCGGCGACTCAGTCTCTCGGCGACCAAATCAGAAAAACTAGGGCCAAGAGACCAAGCCGAGCGACAGTATTCTAAGTACATTCGTGCAGAATGGACGTCGAAGAAGCTGCAATAGTAGCGCTACTCATAATAAAGAGAAAGAAAAATAAAAGAAAACCAAAAGAGTGTTGGGTACATTCTTGTTAAAAGAACGGAGATCAAACGGAATGTTAAAGTATTTTATGAAGACGTGAGAACTAGAAAAATACCCTCGTAATTTTTTTAATTACGCAAGAATGTCTGTGCGTTCGTTTGATGAGCTATTGTGTCTTAGATACAAATATGCGACCATGTATTTCTGCGGAAGAAAAATTATTTATAACACTAAGGTAAGTAACAACTTCATTATCTACACTTCTACACTAATCTTATAAAGAGGCAAGATTTGTATTTTTGTCTGTGTATGTTTGTAATGAATTTCGTGCTCGACGCTATATCGAATGTTCATTCGGCATATTAGCAAACAAGTGGCAGATTTTTCACAGACCTATTAATGTGAATTTAGATCTAGTAACAAGCATCATTAAAACATGATTTTTTTTATTTTTTAAGCATTTAACTGCTAGATGTTTAAATCTAAAGAAAAGTTTACTAGAAAAAAATCCACGCGGACCAGGCAGCGGACGGGACTCGAACCCGCATCCTTCGCTATCCGGGCGAATGCACTGACCATTATGCTACCACGGCCCTATTATCCGCGTTGAAATTTTCCTAGCCTTAAGCTGCAAGGCAGCGCCATCTCATCGCATTGTAGGTAACCCACAATGTCAAATGAATACTTTTTCAAGTATTAAACATTTGAAAGAAGAAATAGCAATTATAGTTATGATTTTATTTATTTTTTAAGCATTTAACTGCTAGATGTTTATGTTTATATTTATGATGTGTTTTATTGGTAAAAAATTGGCTAACCTAGCAACCCTACAATTCACTCACTCATCAATAGCCGCCGCCATTACGGTGCCTCAGTATTGTCTAAGCCGAAACTCTGTCCGCCTTTTTTTATACGTCCATGCTATAAGTTAAGTATTAGGTACTCATTATAATTAATACCCGTTTCTAAAATACGGTTACGAATATAAAATTATTTCCTACTAGCTGTGCCCCGCGGGTTACCCGCGGTTTATTCGGGAAAATAAATTCATCGATTTTCCCATGGGAATAAGATATTTTCCCGCAGTAAAACGTAGCCTATATGTTAATCCAGGGTGTCAGCTAACTCCATACCATTTTATTAAAATCGCTCCAGCCGTTTAGACGTGAAGAAGTAACAAACATACACACTCACAAAAGTTTCGCCTTTATAATATTAGAGTAATAGTTTCCAATACGTGTATAAGATTTTTATAAAATTGTAAACGGAGTAGCGTCACTTCACAGCGTAGAAACAGACTGTAGTCACGTTGAGCCTCCGCCCCAACGATATTAAATACCCTAGATACACCATCACGTACAAAATCGTTGCCGAAAACTGTCCTAAAGGTACATAGGAAGGTCGCGTAACCAACGCGTAAGTTAAAATAATATCGGACTATATTCATTACATACATTTGAAAGTCAACATCAATTTATAGGTGTTACGGTCTTAATTAATGTGGTTTTGTCAAGGAGTTATGACAGTTTAGAATGCAAGCCAATTGCAAGGTTGTAAAATTTTATTGCTTTTCTTCGAAGGCGACAAGAGAAAGACTCTAAGAGCCACTACGCACTGTCGACTAGTCGCCGGCGATACAGTCGCCGGCGACTGTGACTTACTATAGTTTAAATAGGTGCTTGCGCACTAAGTCGTAAGTCGCTCAGGCGACTCGGCGACTCGCCACGTTGTGGCGACGCACAGGCGACTGGCGGTCGCCGGCGACCTATAGAAGCACGGCTTCAAATGGGACTGTTCACACTGCGAGCAACTGTCGTAGCGACCAGACGCCGCGCACAAAAATGGCTCAGGCTTTCGATTCTGAGAAATTTATATTGGATATACAATCCTGAAAAGCAATTTGGGACTTACTGAGTCACGAATATTCTAATCGGGATTTGAATTAGAAAAAAATCCACGCGGACCAGGCAGCGGACGGGACTTGAACCCGCATCCTTCGCTATCCGGGCGAATGCACTGACCATTATGCTACCACGGCCCTATTAGCCGCGTTGAAATTTTCCTAGCCTTAAGCTGCAAGGCAGCGCCATCTCTTCGCATTGTAGGTAACCCACAATGTCAAATGAATACTTTTTCAAGTATTAAACGCGTGGTCCGCGTGGATTTTTTCCCACTGTTTTGTCTTCAAATCCCGATTAGAATATTCGTGACTCAGTAAGTCCCAAATTGCTTTTCAGGATTGTATATCCAATATAAATTTCTCAGAATCGAAAGCCTGAGCCATTTTTGTGCGCGGCGTCTGGTCGCTACGACAGTTGCTCGCAGTGTGAACAGTCCCATTTGAAGCCGTGCTTCTATAGGTCGCCGGCGACCGCCAGTCGCCTGTGCGTCGCCACTACGTGGCGAGTCGCCGAGTCGCCTGAGCGACTTACGACTTAGTGCGCAAGCACCTATTTAAACTATAGTAAGTCACAGTCGCCGGCGACTGTATCGCCGGCGACTAGTCGACAGTGCGTAGTGGCTCTTAGAGTCTTTCTCTTGTCGCCTTCGAAGAAAAGCAATAAAATTTTACAACCTTGCAATTGGCTTGCATTCTAAACTGTCATAACTCCTTGACAAAACCACATTAATTAAGACCGTAACACCTATAAATTGATGTTGACTTTCAAATGTATGTAATGAATATAGTCCGATATTATTTTAACTTACGCGTTGGTTACGCGACCTTCCTATGTACCTTTAGGACAGTTTTCGGCAACGATTTTGTACGTGATGGTGTATCTAGGGTATTTAATATCGTTGGGGCGGAGGCTCAACGTGACTACAGTCTGTTTCTACGCTGTGAAGTGACGCTACTCCGTTTACAATTTTATAAAAATCTTATACACGTATTGGAAACTATTACTCTAATATTATAAAGGCGAAACTTTTGTGAGTGTGTATGTTTGTTACTTCTTCACGTCTAAACGGCTGGAGCGATTTTAATAAAATGGTATGGAGTTAGCTGACACCCTGGATTAACATATAGGCTACGTTTTACTGCGGGAAAATATCTTATTCCCATGGGAAAATCGATGAATTTATTTTCCCGAATAAACCGCGGGTAACCCGCGGGGCACAGCTAGTAGGAAATAATTTTATATTCGTAACCGTATTTTAGAAACGGGTATTAATTATAATGAGTACCTAATACTTAACTTATAGCATGGACGTATAAAAAAAGGCGGACAGAGTTTCGGCTTAGACAATACTGAGGCACCGTAATGGCGGCGGCTATTGATGAGTGAGTGAATTGTAGGGTTGCTAGGTTAGCCAATTTTTTACCAATAAAACACAGTAAAAACATGAAAATATTTTGATTGTTCAAAATTTTACTTTTTGCCCAACTGCGGAGGATAATGTTTTTCGAGCGTATGTATGCATGTATGTATGTATGTCCAATAATTTGGCACGCCCTACAGCCTGAACGTCTTGACGGATTTTGACATGCGAGGTGTCATTTGATTTGTCGTGATTGTGTGAGTGGCACTCGGTATATTAAAATTTCAAAAAATCAAAATAACAGATTTTATGCGCCAAAATGAAACATTTTGAAAAAAAAAGTATAAGTATTTTTATAACCCGTCAAGCGAGGTATCAAAGAGAAGGGTTTTAAAACAATATTTAGAAAATATACAACTCGTGTAATTAAAAAATAATGAAATTAAAATGTCAATAATAAAAAAAATGTACTAAAAAGAAAAAAACAAGTCCAGTAGTCTATAATTCTGTTTACTAAAGGAACAAAGTTACTTTAACAGTCGGGACTCATTAGAAATTCTAGAATGTATCGAATTTTATCAATATTGGGTAAATCAACTAAATATACATGGCCCGGCCTGCATTCTCTTTCATATTTCTTAAAATAAACTAACACCCACTGAGTACTGTTTGTAATTGAGGAGTTCCATTGTTTTCCTCCGAAAGTACTCTTCAGATCTCCAGTAAATTAATATGCAGCCATCTCGCTAGTACACTGATTAAAACAAAAAAAGAATCATCATAAACGGTCCACGAATCTCGGAGATCTGCGCGAACAATAAAAAAAAAACAAATATGACGCATTGCGAACCTCTTTCTTTTAGAAGTCGGTTAAAAATTTTAATCAACCTTTTGAGGTAATGCATACGTAATAACACGCCGGAGTCCTCCTTTAGTTGTATAAGTCTTGAGCTTCAAAATGAAGACTAAAAATGACACTACTACATATTTGTTTGGAAATCATTCATTTTCCAGTAATTTCTCCATACTACATTTTCTTTAGGAAATCTGATAAAAAAGAATAATAAATAATAGATTGAAGTTAATGTCAACCCAATTTCCCATATTTTAGGTAATATGGTTACATGAACATGGGCAACACTGGGCTTTAGACTAATCATTTTGTCCTTAGAATTAAAATAGATTTCGATTTCTAAAAACTAGAAAAAAGTGATTTAATTATTCATTTACCTATGAAACGTGATTCCTGGATTTTTTTCTTTCGGTCACTACGGTTTTTACACCTTTTTACAAGCAAGATATCTTGTTTAGCTTATTTTTTATCTCCACGTAACGGCTGCTTTGACGTTTGCACGCGTAGTGGCTGACTATTGTGTGAATGTGTGCATGCCGGCTTGTACGTACAGCGACCTGCCCCCCTAGCATGAGTAACAAAACGCGATATGATAAAGCGATTTATCGACATTAACTGTCAAACTAGAATGGAGTTTGACAGTTGAGTGTCGATAAATCGCTTTATCATATTACGTTTTGTTAATCATGCTAGGGGGGCTGGCCGACTTTGAGCGACACAGTTTATTGTTTACCGGGACTCTGTCCGCCTTTTTTTACAAGTCCATGCTTATTAGTATATTATTCAGCTTTTATTTAACTAGTTTAACATTTACGCATTAAAAGGCATACATTTCCCTCTGATAATGGAACTTAAGTAGTCCAATGGTTTATCATCTAAAATGAAAATATTTTCTCCATATTTTCAGAGACCCCTGTTAAATATGTAACAACTTTTCAGATGTTTAGCAGAAGTAGAAGATCTAATAGAGAAATCTAATAAAGCTTGTGTACCGGTTGCGGGCATTATTATTGAACCTATACAAGCCGAAGGGGGAGACAATGAAGCTTCCCCATATTTTTTTCAAAATCTTCAAAGAATATGTCAACAGGTATCTATTTTTCTATACAAGACTGGGGGTAAAATCATAGACTTAGTATACTGATAAACTGATAGACTGATAAACTGAGGAAAAGAGATATCATGCCCTTACGGCAATCCCAAAAGGTAGAAAGAGATGCAATATACTTTTGTTCCAATATACTAAGAGCCAACAGCGTCCTGTCAAGTCTGTTTAGCCTTAAAGTTTATTATGAAACTAGCGGCCCGCCCTCGCTTCGCTTCGGTGTAGAGCTGAAGTGTAGACTACAGTTTTTCTTCTCAGGCTTGTATTATACACAATGACATTCATCTATGATTCTTCTTATACCTGCATGCAAAGTCTCATCGGTTTAAAATGACAAAGTTTCATACAAACTTTCATTCCCTATTTTATCCCCTTGGGGGTAGAATTGATCAAAATCATTTCTTAGCGGATGCCTACGTCATAACATCTACCTGCATGCCAAATTTCAGCCCGATCCGTCCAGTGGTTTGGTTGATAGATCACTATGTCAGTCAGTCACCTTTGAGTTTTATATAGGGTGAAATTGAATGTTTCTATGAAACTTCGTGAGATTGTTGGGTTATGTGTATAGAGTATGCCTGTTTTTTTTTCGGATTTTTTTGAAGTATATTTTTTTCATGTATTTATTTATAATTTGTGTATTTTTATGTCCTTTCCTCCTTTTGAGTAGTTATTCATTTTAAACAAACAAACTTACATATCCAGTGAAAAACAACTAATAAATAAGCACTTCTAAAAAACGGAAAAACATTAAAATTCCACCGCGGGTCAACGACCGACCGCGCCCGCCAGCCTTTGAGTGAATAGGTACCTAGCTCTACACAGAGCTCAGCTGACTCGTTTGATTCCACACAATACAATAAAATCGGCTTAGATGCCTTTATTGAAATTGAAATAATAAGCACAAATGTCAACTTCTCTTAAGCAGAGAAAAACTTTAAAAGTTAATAATAATTTTGTCACGATTGGAAATAGGCAAATGTTAAACAAAAAGAAATACTTATTGCAGTTCAATACTTGGGTCAGAATGAAATTTATAACCAGGTATTCAAAAGTACTTACGAGACCGGCGATGTAAGTAGGTACAACGAGGAACGAGGAACATATTCATTTTTTTCACTAGAACTTTTTATCAAATCAATCACACTGGTAGTACACAATTAGTTGTTTCTAATCAAAAAGTTTTTACACTAGCAATAAAAAGAGACTTAAATTATTATCTGCAAAATTGTTGCTCCAAACCACAATTTTGCTGCAAACAAAGGTAGGCATGTTTGCGGACGTGTCTTTTCACCTTTTTTAAAGTGTCCCTATCACTACTGACTGCACAAAATGCAACTTCTATGGTTTGGGGACTCATTCGTAAACCAAACCTACTTCGTCACACTCGCGATAGCAGTACACCATCTCTAAATATTCTTGGTTCGTATACCGAGGCATAATGAAACTATCACAGTGTATGTCACTAAGTCAAAAGATGCGCACGCTCACGCGCGATTGATATACTTGCGACTGCGTTTTGCATGCAATCAAAGCAAACCACCGCGTGCGGGGAAGAGGGGAGGTGGGCGGAATTCACATCATCAAAGACGCCGCAACCGGCGCTAGTTGCCAGCGTGCGGCGCGCCGCTCGCCCGTGCTTGCCGCAAAACAACATATTATTATGTATGTGTGTGTGTGTGTGACTGTGGCTGTGATTAAACGTTTTGGGAATTTCATGACGTGGGCAAATCAGACACGAAGAGTTCCTTCCTTCACTAAGCTCGTAAGTTATACCGATTTGCTCTGTATGATTTTTCACAATTTTAAATAAGCCGTTTGTGCTTAAGTTTTAATTAAACGAGGCAACTAACATTAACAATAAAAAAGAAGTTCTTACACTAACTAACAGACAGGCTTTACCGATTTAAAATCGTGACAGTCATATTAACTTTATAGGATTTTTAATTGCTCTAACAGAAGATTTATTTTATTGATTAATTACCTGTGCTTTATGAAATAATATTCAAAGGTATTGTGTATCAGTGAATAAATAATTATAATAAAGCATCTAAGACTATTTTATTGTAATGTTTTTAAATAGTGTGGATCAAAGCGGAGAGTAGGTAAGCGCCGAGTCATCTGTGCGTGTAATAGGTACCTACACAGGCGGCCGCCGCGCCGGTCGTCGCCGCGACCGGCGCTGATCTCGACTGGAGGCATAATGAAGGCATTCTGCCTCCAGTCGAGAGTCGAGATTAATGAGTGATGTGCGTGAAAACCTAAGAAACAAATATTTAATGAAGGCATTCATTAAGTTTCCGTTTTTTTAGTAGTGCTTATTTTAAGTTGCTTTATAACTTCTATGTAGACATGTTTAAAATGAATAATTACTCATAAGGAAGAAATGACAAAAAAATAACCAAATAAAAAATTAAAAATCGAAAAATTTTATTTTAAAAAATCCGAAAAAAATCAGGCATTATCTATACACGTAACCCAACAATCTCACGAAGTTTCATAGAAACATTCAATTTCACCCTGTATATATAGATTCGTAAAACTAAAAAAACAATTGTTCTTATACAACACAGTTTGTTTACGGTATACTGTGTTTAAAGCACATCTTGACAAAACGACACTATCAAAAACAACAATAAAGCTGACCTGTGCCTGGACAGGAACTGCCTGAGACGGGTGGCGGGGGAAATCATCGGGCATTGCCCACTAAACAAACACACTAGGTATCACTAGGGCTGCCATCTCTAAAATATGGCAACCAGAATAAGACGCGTGATAACCCCGGATTTTGAAGCCCAGAACCCGGACAGACCAATAAAAAAACAGCTAAAAATGTAATAAATCAACTTTTTTATGTTGATCTAGGCAAAACAGCTAGCGGTCTACCTCATAATAAGTGGTCACTGCTGCCCATGGACACTTGCAGCACCTAGGGCCACTCATGCGTTGCCGTAAATTTTTGAACCCGGACTACAAATAAAACCCCGCCCGGACGCTCCCCGGACGCCCCGTAAACTAGGACAAATCCGGGGAAACCAGGACGGATGGCAGCCCTAGGTATCACTGACATATCCCCTATGCAGAGCATGTGTGGAGGCAGAGGAAACGGTGGCACATGTACTCCTCGAGTGCACCGGTGTCGCTCAAATCCGCGGAGTGACTGTTGGTAGACCGTGATCCCTTACAGATGCCCTGAGAAGATTGGGAAGACTGATCTGATTCTGGGGGGAGTTGAGCTGGCTGGAATAACCCGCCGCCATGGCTCACGCACAATTATTCACTTTCAGGAATAAGTGCGGAAACCTAAACCCCTAATATAGACCATAGAACGGCACTCCAATCAAACACCGATACGCAATCAAGTCTATCTTTACATATATCTATGGGTAAAACATTATACAGCACAGGCTGGATCTCATCGGTTCTTAGAATAACAATTTTGGCACATCAGATTGTTTTCAGACCGGTTCCATACCCAAAGGGTAAACAATGGAACCATATATTCAAGCCGTCGTTGTCCTCCCGTTGTCCCGTCCGTCAGCGAGATGTATCTCATAAAATAAGTGGATAGTGAAATATTCATAGAATGCCATTTGTCACTATAACAGTTTTTAACATGAAAATTAAGGATACTTCAAAGTTAAAGAAACGCGTTTTTATTCTACTGTATGTGTATACTAGTCCGAGTCACACTTGGCCGCTGTTTGGATATCAATCCACATTCATACCACACCATGTTTAGCTTCACTCCACTACTGGGATTCACTACGACATTACAGATTGTAGTTGCCAAAACGTAAGAAGATTAAAGAAATAAGTTTACATTTCGTTTATACTTATATATGTATCAGTATATGTGTTCTATCCGTTATAGGGTAACGGAGAGAACATATATCCCATGGTGTGAGTGTGGGGAATATTTATTTATTTATCCCTGAATAGACTCAGCAGAAATTAAACTTTGTTTGATTCAGGACCATTTAGTATCAATAGATCGCTCTCAACTCTGAGACTAAAATCATGAGCTATACTGTTTTATACAAAACAGCATCTCAAGATTATACTCCAGATCGCTCTCGGCATTGGTGCTCTTTCTTACAATACAGAGAGGAGTCGCTCTAATTTTTGACGAAGTGCAAACGGGCTGCGGTCCAACCGGCAAAATGTGGTGCCACGAACACTTCGAACTGCCCTCGCCCCCCGACGTAGTCACGTTCAGCAAGAAGATGCTCACCGGCGGGTTTTACTATAAACCTAATTTCAAGTAAGTAGATAACACTTTGGTAATCTTCAATCGAATCAAACCAGCTATCCGGGCGTTAGCATTGACCATTATGTTACCGAGACCTTAACGAACGTATCGAATTTATTCTAGTATTTCAGTATAGACATTGAGTATTTTTTTTTACATTGGACAGTGCAAATAGTTTCTTCTTAACTTTAAGTTGTCTAGATATGAGGACCTGTAATTGGCTCTTTGTCGCTACCGTTCATTTCTAGTTTATTAAGGTAAGCTGTTGATCTTCCATGTAACCAAAATAAATAAATAGATAATGACAAACACTCGCATGAAATTGATGATATAATTGAAGATCCTTCTTTTCGAAATTACGATACAAGTACAAAACTATTATTATTGATAAGCGCAACTTGGTAAAATTAAATAAACATGTTCATGAAGATCTTCTCTTGGCATTTCTACTGAAATAATAATTTAAAGGAGTATAAGTAAACCATGATTGTTTTTGGGCTTTTAACTTTTTATTAAGTTCATCGACTATTTCTCTATTGAATGCGACGAAGTTTTAATTACCATGTGCATTGAATATTCTTCCAGGGCACCACAAGCCTATCGAATTTTCAACACTTGGATGGGCGATCCAGGAAAGTTGATTTTACTAGAGTGTGTTTTAAAAGTGATTAAACAAGATAACTTGCTCAGTCTGGTGGAAAAGTCTGGTTCTATTTTGAAAAAAGGTCTTCATCTTCTGGAGACTGAATACCCCTGTATGATAAACAGTGTGAGGGGTCGTGGTACATTCTTAGCATTTAATGCAGCCAACGCTACATTGCGAGACAAGATAAATATTAGCTTAAAGGAAAATGGTAAATACTCATCAAATTATTACATATAAAACATTACCTACTTGACTTAGCATTACCTACGTTAAGTTTCGACTACCAGTCTACTCTAAGCCAGCTACGTGATGGTTCATCATAGCCCGTTCTTTCTTTTCCATCCATAGAAAAAGCCATTCCAACAGTGAGGATTTTAATCGGCTAAAGGCGGGTTTACTTATGTATGAGCAAAAATATTTGCCGCAAACTATAAAAAAAACGAAGCAAATTACATATCACAATTTTTCAGTTAGCAAAACTCTTCTTGGCATGTTATTTTTATCAAATGATTACTAAGTTTTGTATAATTTTAACTTTTTTTAATCTTTTTTGTCTTTTTTTAATGTCTGTAAAATGCTTTACGCATTCTCCGCCCACCGGGATAAGCAAAGCGGAGTTATCCGGGACTCCTCCCCTTTCCTTCCACCCAGCATGGAGACTCGATGAAACGAGTGGAGCCCTACCTAACGGTAAAAACCAGGCAAATACTCCTGCACCTGTCCGCTGACACATATCCCGAGGACCGCGGTCCCTGACATATTATGTGTCAGTGTGTCATTAGGGTGGGCATTGCATAGTACGCCCCAAGGGGATACCACGGCAAAGCGCCCGCCGGTGATGTTTCATTTTACCAAGTATAATTTAATCGTTTGGCATGAGAGATACTCTTCTCAAAAAGATATTCGTTTCTAGCCCTTCGCCGGCCGTTTGATGCGGCTTTTCTTCGATACGCAATAACTTGAATGCCTGAAGTGGAAATTTTTTGGGATATAATATATGCCTAAACTAAACATTTGCGTAATAAACATTAATTTAGGAAATGAACTAGGGCAAAAAGTTTTATGGGAAGTATTTTTTTATTGCGAAAATATTTTGCTAAAAGGGATTATAATTTCAGGTATACTCAGTGGTGCATGTGGTGATACATCTATACGGCTTCGACCATCCCTTACTTTTACACCAAAGCATGCTGAGATTTATTTGGATATTTTGAAGAAAACACTAAAACATTTATCTCGATTTTGAACAAAATAGTAGGTATGTACTATGTATTACGTATCTACCTACGTTACTAAGGATTACAGATTTCCTAACTACAGATTACTCTGTATAATGTGTTACAAATAGTTACAGTAATTAAACAAATTGTTTTAAAATATTTTATTTTCTTTACGTACCTACATTTGTATACCTACCATTTTTAAGTGTGTATTTGATTTGATTCTTTCTCACGTAGTACATAAACCAGTAGTATATGTTAAACCAGTATATAACTTCAGTTAATCAACAACTATGAATCTGAAGCAGTAAACTGATTTAAATATATATTTTAGTAGCTGAGCCAGCGAACTTCGTATCGCCATAAAAATATGGGTAAAAATTTAGGGTTGTATGTATTTTTGTATGATGTATCATAAAAAAGTAAAAACAAAAAAAAATGTCATAATAAAATAATAGTGGACCACACTTAACTTTAGGGGGATGAAAAATAGATGTTGTCCGATTCTCAGACCTACTGAATATGCATATAAAATTTTACGAAAATCGGTCGAGCCGTTGTGGAGGAGTTCAATTACGCACACCGTGACACGAGAATTTATATACTATTAATTTAAAGAATTAAGATAAAGTAGGTACACTAACAACTTACAAACTAATATAAAGGTGGATAACTTGTAACTTACCATGTCTAATCCATGTTACAGCAATAATATATATATATTATAAATTAGTAAAATACTATCAGTGAATAAAATTAAATTTGAATCTTTCAATGTAATTTTGGTTCTGGTCACGTAATTCTCTCAATTTTCCGGGTTTTATTTTGTTGGCACTGGTTTCTTGTTCTTTGTATTATGTTTTTGTAGTTTTAGAATAATGTTCTTTTGTATAAATGAAAACATTACTACTTAGCATAATAATACGTGTTACCGTATTTGTGTTATTATTTCTTAAGTTGATGTAGATTGAATGTATGTACCGAATTGATTTGCAGAAATAGACTGCATTTTCTTTATTTATTAATGCATATTTGTTTGGTTGTTTGATTTTTGGTCCATTATTTGTGTTGTTACTATATAAAGTAACTGGTTAATAATTTATTGTACCTACAAGTTACATATTTATTGGCCCATGGTATGGTAACACATTTTGTTATTTTCATTTAACAACAGTTGTGACTACAACGTTCTGAATTTTATCGTCCGGAGAAACCTGGTTTTCCCTTAGTTTAAAACATAGACTTATATTGTATATAGGGTTTAAATTTTATTTTTAGTAGGTACTATACTTTTCGGCTAAATTTTTAATGCATCTTGCAATGTTTTAGCATTATATAATAATTTTCTTATCTGTACTAAGCAGCTTCCTGGGATTTAACATAGATAAATTAATAAGGAACTACAAAGAAATTATTACAAGAGAATTAATATACTTACATAATTTTTTAAACGTTTGTATTTATGCATATAGTTTGGGTGCAAAATAAAAAAAACCTATGTACAAACAAAGAAGTTAATATCGGTTAGGTACTTTAAGAATGTCGTAAGTATTAATATTTCATCTAGGTGGCGAGAGATGGATGGGATGAAAAAAATAAGGTACAAAGTTTTACTAAATTTATTTAATACGATACAAGCTAACATTTTACTTAAAAATGACTAGAAACCCTCGTTGAGAAGCATTTTGCCCTTAGGTCCATCGATCAGTTCGTCATCAGCGTATATCAGTTGACCTCTCAAATATGTCCGCATCACTTTCCCAGTCAATACTCTGTACATGTATGGACTTATCTGTAAACAACCAACTCATGTGAAGTAATTATACTTAACTAGATAGTGCTACCGATTCGGCATCCTTCTCTAAACTTAAAACTTAATTTGACAATAGTTTCTCCTTTTAATTCTTAAGAGAGCATGGATACACTGTTGTCAAATATATTATAATGTTAGGCTTAGAGAAGTATGATGGAATGGGTCCCAGTATATAGTTAACATTAAAGACCTACGTGTTGAATTGGACTGTAGGACCTTTCCCTCAGCATAATTTGAATTGGCGTGTCTACGGCTCTCTACTTGATTTAGCCTACGCCATACGGATTCGTCTGGGTATCCTATCGACCTGACACAATTATTTAACTAAATTTGTAACAGTGCCAAGAAAGAAATAAGTGATTTCTAAGGACTCGGAAAAATATGTTACGTTAATATCACAAAAAGAAAATAAACACTATGTTTGCCTCAGAAAATGCGATTACCGTAAAAGCTTATATTTTATAACCATATAAGTTACAGTGCCAAAATATCGGAGACTCCTAAAAACAAGGCACATGGTAACAATCCCGTTAATAACTATAATGTTAGTGACCATTAAAGTTAAAACAATATATCATAATATAAGTTTGTATATAATATTTGAAAATTATAATTGTGCGGTTCAGAAAGTTAATTTACCGTAGTCATTAGCAAAGTGTAATCTGTAATATCAACTACTTATTTTAATAACTGTCAACAGTTAACAGCAACAATGAGGAAATTCGCCACGAAATTACTTTACCTTGTTTTTATAGCGTATAACTTGAGGTGTGACAATGAACGAGGCATCAGGGTCGAAGAAAATTAGATCTGCGTCGAGTCCTGGGCGGATTGAGCCCTTTTTGTCTTGAAGCCCAGCTAGTCGGGCGGGGCCAGCTGACAGGTAATGGCTGGCCATACTCAGACTGTGGCCACGTGCCTTAGCCTCCGTCCAGAACAAAGGCAAGTCTAAAATTCAATCCAAAGGTTTTAACAAGTGCAGATAAAATATAAAAGACAAGAAATTATTCACGCTCGGATGTTTGTAACGGCATATTTTCCATTTTATATGATAAAAAATAAAATTGTGGTTATTACTACATAAAATCAACATTAGTTACGTTTATTTTACTATGATTACTTATGAAGAAAAAAGCGAAAGGGGTGAAAAGTAAACTAATAGCTCCTCGACATCAATCTTCTATATTTATGTATAGAACGTCGTGCTTTTAATAGATGCAGAAGTATATCAGAAGTTTTAGATTAAATCTTGATAATATAATGTATCATTGTAACTTACCAAACTGTACCGACGAAATGCCACCCCAAGCGGTCATAAAGTTAGATCCTTTTAACTCTGCCACACTGGGTGAATGATCGGATGCCACAAGATCCAATCGTTTGTCATTTATGTATTCCCATAGCTTCATCTGAAGATTAGTTTTTTTTGTTAGTAAACCTACGAAACTGCAACTCTTATTATTTTATAATTGGGTTACATTATCGAAGTTTTCATACGTAACCCCAACTTTTTTGAAAATACTCTTAAGCCTATGTTCATCACGGATAATTAATTATTCAAAACGTGAAAGATTTTTCGAATCGGTCCAGTAGATTCGGAGCCTACTCAATATAAACAAACAATGAAACCTTTCCTCTTTATAATATTAGTTTAGATGACCCACAATACCTTGTTGGTGATGTTTCTGACTGGGGGCGAGCATTTATACTCGGAATGTCCGGGCGGGATCATTTCAGAGCTGAGACTCAGGTAGTGGTTACAAGTCTCCGCGGTCACTCCGCCCCGCCATCCTTTGTATCCAGCCTTGATTCGTTCGTTTCTCGCTTGTTCTAAGATCGGGATTACACCTTCAGCCGACACATGTACTATGTGAACGTGCACGCTAAAATTAGAAAAACAATCCATGCTTTCCATTCATTTAATAATATTCAAGTTAGCGTGTACGTACTAATGTACCTACGCATATTTTACTAGTGTGGGTGCCCGCGATTTTGTCTGCGTGGATAAATTGGTTTCTCTTATAAACTTTCACACCCCTTTTCTCCCCAGTAAAGGGTAATTTCTAGGATAAAACTTATTCTATGCCTTTCCCGGGATTGAAACAAACTGTCTCTAAGTAATACCAAATTTCATATAAATCGGTTAAAGCGTGAAGAGGTAATAGACAGACAGACGGACACATTTCTGCATTTATAATATTAGTATGGATGGAAGTATGGATTTCTATCTTAGGGCAGATAGAAATCCATTAGCATAGGTATTTATCTGTTTTTTTTTATTCCGTCTTAGTGCATTGACAATTGAGCGACATAAAAACTGATTATCATATCGCGGTGCTGTGCTAGCGTCATACTAAGGCTGGCATTGTTAAAAAGATATAAAATAATCGGTTTTGTATTTTCAATGGGTGTGGATTTCATAAGAAACTTATCTATGTCAATTTTTATGAAATATCTGGACATTATCGACAGATGTTTCGAAGTTCATCAAAACGATATTGGTGTCGATTGTGCCATGATTCTCTAAACCTAAAACTAAATTTAACATCAGTCTCTCCTTCTCATTCTATATAAATATGACAGGGATACACTTTTGTCAAATTTAAGTTGAGGTTGAGAGAATTATGCCAGAATCGACACCATTGTATATTAAAAAAGTTTACTCACTCAGTTTGTGGTAAAAATGATGCCACAAAGGATACTGCATTTATTTCCATTTCATCCGGACGAGAGGCAAGGTAAGTGTCGTATAATATAGGATCTGTATTTAGAAATAACCTTCATTTTTGTTGATCGTGTTGAATAACTGGATAACTAAAAATAGATCTTGAATATTTTCCTTTAACGTTTTTGCTATACTACCTGTATTGCATGTATCTGTTCTATGTCCTTTCTTGAAGTCTCAATTATAAAGGTTTCAATGTCGATTTCCAACTCCTTTGCGTGTATTTGAGGAAAAATTTTTAAAAATAACTATCTATCAAGCAACAGAAGCTCTCTAAAGGAATAATTTATCTCGTTTACAATAAATGTTGCAACATTTATTGTATTTCTATATAAATATACATATTTAAGTACAGTATATGTATTGTACCCGTTACCCTAGCATCCCATAACAGAAGCCTTACAGTGCTTAATTTGGGGCTACGTTAATAATTGGTGTGAGTGTTGGAAATGTTTATTATTATATTATTGTCATTGCTGTTACTCCTTTTGGTCGTACCGTGATATGAGTAGAATATAAAGACTTTCTCGAGAGATGGACTATCCAACACAAATATTTTTTTTACAATTTGTACCAGCCAGTACTTTCAAAGATTATCGTGTTCAACAATATACACAAACAAACCTTCAGTTTTATAATACTCAGTATAGTGTTTTAAATTACTAAAATGATGTAGAGCTATTGTATCGTATTCTAGTAGACTAAAAAATGTCAGAACTACGAAAACAATTAACAAATATTTTATATTCTTTCTCGTCGTGACAATAGATAGTTTAACATAAGAGAACCATAAATGTTACATTGTCAAAATAATTATTATTTATGCAAGTATATCTCTAAGGTACTTAATAATTTACCTTAATCAAATGTTTTCTTTACTAACCTGGACAACCTGGGCCAGAACATGCAGTACTTTTATCATTCTGTGATAACTCAGCATGAAACTGCAAAATATAAACTTTTTTAACAAAAAATAATCTGACTCCTAAAACCTAGCTAAAACCATAAAGAATTAGCAAATAATTCCTAAGCTTTACTTAAATAAAACATTTCAAGTAAATTAACTCGTATTTTTTATAAGTCAGCAACATCGACTATGTTACAATAGCCTAAGTTAAAGTCCTATTAATATTTTACAAAATGTTGTTTTTTCCGATCCAAGGACGTTATTTCTTGAGGAGATCTCCTGGTACTGCAGTGTAAGTTATAATAAGTACTATAATAAGCATTGTAAATTGGAACTGTTAGTGAAGTACAAACGTAAATTACTTGGCAGGCAAATTAAAGTATTCATATCGCAGCTCGTGGAATATTAATTATTTATTAGTTTCAGTGACAATCTGTATTTACCAACATCAATTCCGCTTCTCCAAAATATCTAAATGATTAAAGATAGAAGAGTTATAATTTTAGATGACATGCCGACCATGGGACCAACTGAGAAGCCCTTGACCCTTTCAAACGAAATATAATTTTCTGATCGGTCCAGACGTGTATGCGTAATTGGCGAACATACATTAAAATTATTCCGACGAATTGACAACCTCCTCCGTTTTAGTAGGCGTTTCAATATAATTTATGAAGTTCTTTATAGGAGCTAGAGTACAAGAATTATAGTGTTCTTCTAATGATGCAACCTACACCTTACAGAAGACTGCAGCGAAATAATACTACTTTTTCGTGATGTGATGTTTCTATTAGAAAGGTGCTAGGGCTTCACGGCGTAGACGCGGAAGAATTCCTAAACGGGGATCCCGGGGCTTCGCACTAAGCAGATTAGAGGGTATTCGCAGGGTTTTTTAGCGTATATTATGCCGCAAAGCGCCCAAAGTGTTACGGGGTCCTCAGTGGGTAGCCACTGCTGGGGCTTGTAAGGCTTGCGGGAGCCAGGTGTGAGGTCCGTTCGGCGGTGTGCCTCTTAAAGGCGCCCTCGTCTGTAAAGAGTATTTTTGCCTGCGTATAAAAAAAGGGCTTCACGGCGGCAGAGGGGTGGATTGATGCGTATCAGCTACCTCCACATTTGTGCTTTAGCCTAAAAACAAAGTGAATTGAAGGATGTAAAGGGTGTTTCACTCATCGCTTGTGCATAAAATTATACTTTTCACAAAATACCTATTATTGTTAGAGGAAGCTTTCAACTTCTTCTGTTATGTGTGTTTGTTATTATACAACAAAACATGACTAGGTAAACCAATAAATACTAGTTATGTAAATTCACACGAGAATTTTTCCTTTCTTAATTTAATATTTACCGCTAAAACAGTACCGCTTCCATTCAACACCGCGAATGCTTCAGCCAAATCATTTCTTGTGACCATCGGGAATTCCGAAATACCACTGTCTGTTAGAAAACATTTAAATCCTACCACCCCAGCTTTTATGAGGTCGGTTAGATCCCTCTGTAAGAAAATACTGCATTATTGTACTTATTTTACCTTTAAATATTTTTGTTATTTATTATTTAATAAAGAATATGCAAACAATTTTACAGTATCTAATTTGCTAGGTCGTAGGTGGGTCATTCTATTCTACTGCTAAAAAAGTGTGCAGTCAAAAAAATTACAAAGATAAATTAACATCCTTGGTTTTTTTTTCATTATCATAACTGAAAACGATTATCTTTATCATCTGTTTATTTAATAAACGGTATCAAATTAAAAATTATTCTTAAAAAGAAAATTAATAGTGCCTATATCACGTTCTGCTATCTGTGTATTTCACATGTTACCACATTAAGGTAACCAAGAAAAATATAATGTGCGAGTTTAGGATGTTGTTAATATCGCAAATATTGTATTATTATAATCTAGTTTATGATATTACCAACAATATATAGGTTAGTGCTATCTTACAATACATTTTACGCGATTCTACTCTTGTTACAATTTTGAAATCATTTCTGTGATTTTGTAATGAAACGCTAGTAACATTCTTCTTATAGGTAAATTTTGTATGCAGTGACAACACTACATTACCAGTAATTTACGGAACGACTTCAAAGTAAAAAGTACTAGCGTTAGTTTTGTGATAAAAACCATTTTGTTAGTAATTATTACTGTGTAAAATTTGGTGTATCATCTCTGTTGAGGCTGCAGAAAGGTAAGCTTATCAAAATCACAAACAATAATATGCGGGCAGAATCTATTTCATTGTTTGTTTTAATATACTTAAGAGTCAACTAGTTTACTCTTAACTTTGAATCCAACGAAGCCGAAATTTCAAAATTTTATCATTTCTGTGATCGTCACGTTCTGTTGTCATTGTGATAACAGAAATGACATAAGATAACAGAAATGATAATATTTCTTTTATATTCATTATGTTCAACTCTGGCTACTCATTGGCTGATTGGCAATTAATCAATACAGAAATTAAAAATAATTATATTACATATTATGTTCTTTCTTTTCTTCATAAAAAGTTAACTTTTATAGAAAGACATTTCTATAACAGAAGTGATTGTGGTATCACTTAATTTAACAGTTTTATTGTTAGCTGTAGTATGAATCGTCGCACTCGACAAAACAAAAGAAAATAATGGGGTCAAAACAAGTGAAATTCATAAAGAACAAGTAAAGCTTGCTATGAGACGACACCGACAAAAGATGACAGAAGAACAGCTTGAAGAAAGAAGAAAAAAAGACCGTGAAAGGTTTAGGCGAAGAAAAGAACAGGGATTGATAAAGAGCATTTCTGAGTTGACGCCTCGAACTAAGAGAACAGTGACAAATCTGTGGAAAGAAAGCAAAGTACATGGAACAAATAGATAAACAGGCCGAAGAATTATTAAAAATGGCTAATTTCTTAGCAGTATAATTAAATGTTCAAAGCCTTGTATGGTACTATAATGAAGCTGGCCACGGCAAAGGTTCACCTGAAGGAATTGGTGCAATAGTAAAAAGAACCGCTGACTATTCGGTAGCTAGGGGTAATGATGTAGCTAACTATATGCAACTTATCCAGTGTTTGAATGAAAATTGCAGAGGTGTGCAAATCCTTTTAGTTGATGAAGAAAACATTACGGATTTAAAGGCACACTGAATGTGCATCAAGTAACTTTTAGTAAAATAACCCAGGACTACTTCCGCTCGAAAGTTAAGTTGTATGGATTGCCCTCCCCATTAAATCTGTCCTCATTATGAAATAGGTGTGATTAACTCGGAGACTGTTCATAATAGATTTGAAAGTAGTATTCTTTTCCTCACCCCCTAATACTGAATCTGAAAAAACAACTAAAGAAGTTCTTCCTTCGTCACCCCCACACAGTGAGTGTACAGTTACAGATGCCGATTCATTTCATTCGTCACCAGAACGCCGTTCTCCTGTAATATATTCATTTACAGTACAGCAAAGAGTTAGCGATACTGCTGATTCTGATTGTAATTCCAGTCTATCTAGGTAGTTCCATCAGTCTCCACAGAAAAGTATGTATACTACAAATGCCGATGGTTTGACGATTCAGATCATGAAAATCAACCTGTAACGGTAGCAGTTTTATCAGAACGAGGCAGAAACTTCTATTACGAATCATGCTCTTCAGATGACAGCTTCGATAGAGACTTCAAGAGGAAAATATTTATAGATGCAACAATAAATGCTTCAACATTTGAGTATAACAAAACAAAATTCATTTATTCATAGGGATTTTAATACGATTTAAAAGAGCTAAGAAACTGAAAAGATGATTTTTATTGCTAATAAGTATGGTACAATTAAATGATAACGGCTATGACATCACTTCCGTGAAAAAATATTAAATTATTTTTTACGTTTGATACTTTCATCTGATTTTAATCATATTTAATTTTGATTAATATGCCTTTTGAATCAATACTTTCAACGTATAATTATTTTATTTAATTGTTGTTTAAAACTATTAATACAGAATAACATCATATCTGTAAAGTGTAGCGTCATTCCTGTTAGCCACCTATTTTAAATTTTCGTCGTTTTCTCGGAAATTACTGAGAAACGATGTCTGTGTCTAATTATAATGTTTATTGTTTTTGTTGATTAATATAATAAACCTAAAATAATTCAAGAATAACGAGATTTTTATTAATTTTTTTTTCTTTCTTCAAAAGTAGAATGACCCAGGTATATGTAAATAAAGAAAAATGTTCATTATATTTATTTTACTTTTTTTCATTATTATTCGGTTATTGGATGGGTGACCAAAAATTTATTGTCTCGAGCTCCTCCGTGCTTTGGAAAGCACGTTAAACCGTTGGTCCCGGCTGCATCTGCAGTCGTTAGCACCCACAAATCTGCACTGGGCCCGCGTGGTGGGTCATGGCCCAACCTCCCTATTCCATCCATTCGGAAGGCCTGTGCCCCAGCAGTGGGGACATTAATAGGCTGATGATGATTCATTATAAACTATACAACGGATTTCAGGTAGATACACAGCATATCCCCTGTGGAATTAGTGACACATCGAGGATAAGACTCTAATAAAATACATTATTAATCCAGTCCCATTTTTATTTGGACTAGGTACAAAGCCAGCTTTCAAACTACATATGCTTTCCAAGTTGCATTGAATGTGACATTTATTGTGTCCAGGAAACGGCAGTTGGTACATACTGACGGTAAATATTATGAATATCAGTCGGAGAATAACTAAATGAAGAGCTTTAGACCAATTATCGTTTTAATTTTTGTAGTAGGCCCACTGTTTCCTTTTGCTTTCAGTTCAGTAAAGGATAATCGAATTTCCTCGATGAAAGTTTTTCAACGTGTTATTAAAAATATGCAATGCATGTAATAACAATACGGTCGGTCAGAACCTAGCCTAATTTTAATTAGGTATATTAAAACTTTATATAGATGCGAGTAGCCCAAGATCGATCTCAGTGGCGTGAATTGGAGAGGCATATGTCCAGCAGTGGACTAAGATAGGCTTTTGATGATAATAATGATATTCAAACTTTACAACTACAATAAATTGAATTTTTCATACCTGATTCCCAGGTACAACTCCACCCCAGAATCCGACATCAACAAAAATTTCCTCTTTAGCAGAAGCTGCCTTTGTTTTTAAGTTTTGTAGAGTTATTGTTGGTGGTATAGAGTTTCTGTAAATTGTTATGCATTCTACTTGATGCAATGTTCGTTATTTAATACAGTTGAGATACAATCGATTAGACATAAACAATCAATTTAAAACAATACTATTACTTTGGAAGTCCGGAATTCAGTATATAAAAAAGTAAAACAAATGTATAATAAACTCTTTATTCGCGGATATCACTTGAGATGAATTCACCCATCTCGTAACTTGGCACTTGGATTCATCCTTTTACAATACAGTTAAGTAGTACTTATTATAATAGAAACGTATGTATTTTTTTTAAATTATCAATATTTTGATTTATGCTTTTGGAAATTAAATATTCCACGTGATTTACTAGTAGACATATTATCCCTTATCAAATGAGTACCTACACAATGTACAAACACGGAAATGTATGAAATATTAATTTACCGAATAAGGAGAAAATAAATAGATGAAATGTTTGCCTAGGTAGGGTACTTTTGCCATAAATAATTGATCGATATGATTCTTCTCTCTATACCTTTCATGAGTTGGGCAGAAAAATTATTACTTAATTTTTTGTCTTGGTCAAATTGAAAGGGGAAAATAAATGCTTTGACCGACAGAGAATTAAGTCTTGTAATAATATCAAATTTACTTGTTTCTTAGGTTATCACGCATACCACTCATTATAAAAAACAAGTTTAAACCGTACAGATGAACTGTTTTATTTATTTATGAGGTTTCGCATCCTTTCCAGGTTGCGTCGTCAGAATTATGATTTTATCTACTTTTGATTTTATTTATCTATATATATTAAACTCAAAGGTGACTGACTGACATAGTGATCTATCAACGCACAGCCCAAACCACTGGACGGATCGGGCTGAAATTTGGCATGCAGGTAGATGTTATGACGTAGGCATCTGCTAAGAATGGGAGATACGCGAGAAAAGGATGCGAAACGTCATAAATAAAAAATAAATCAGTGCATCTGTACCGTTTAAACTTGTTTTAGTTAATATCACATTGAAATTTATACAGAAGCTGGATTTTGTTTCAATAGGACAACAACATCGCCAGTTTATTGTGAGGTTGCGAAAACAGTGTTTATTCAGTTGCGATAATATTGTGTTGGCAAGATTTTTTTGTGCATTTCTGGCCCTTGGCTTTGACTTAGAAAATAATGGACAATGCTCATCATTTTCATAAAACAATCACCAAAATTGCAATATTATAAAGAAAATTTTATATTTACAGTGGCATATCGATGATAGTTGTAACTCCGCCCGCTGCAGCAGCTTGCGTAGCGGTGACGTAACCTTCCCATGAGGACCTTCCAGGCTCATTCACGTGGACGTGGCTGTCCACCACCCCTGCCATCAAGGCTAAGTTCCCACCATCGATCACCTGCCAAGTCAATTTCATGTAGTGAATAACTTTGCACGCCTTTTAGCATGCGGGGTAGCAAAGATGTGACACTGTAGTACAGAAAAAAATATTTTTAAAAGAATAATTTTAGCACTTTCCTGCAACTTTTTAGCCACATCTCAAGGACGCATACGATGTCATCGTATGGTTTTACCTTCCTTACACAGATTCACAATAGGTAAGTACACTTTTCCAGGAGGTAGGTTTACTTGTAGGCCAAATTTTATTTAAACCTCAAAATTATTAAAATATAAGTGGCGTTTCTACCATCCGTTACGCTTCGGAAATACAGAATGTAAAGCCGTTTTTCTTATCCACATAAGTAAACTTGGATTATATTTTAATGACATAAAATAGCAGAATAGCTTAAAATATTTAGTTACTGACAAATTGCACTATATGTGGATACTTAATGTGATTCATTTACTCCAAAATTTTTATCTCCTTAATATTTTTTAAAACCAGAACATGATTTTAAAAGCATATGTTTCGGTCGGATTTAAGGAAAAAAAAACTCCAAGTAAACCTTTTTCAAAAGCATAATATCAACACGACGTACCTTTAAATTGTCAAGTTGCTGAGTTAGAATAGAGTTAACGACATCCCTTTTCAGTACTGCTTCTATTTTTCCTTTGTCGTTCACCAACACCCCTCCATCGAATTCACTCGAGTCCGTCACTACCCGTCTACTCAGGAACAACTGTTTGCCCAAAGGCTGATGTATATGATCAATGATTCTACAATTCGCAGTCGCTGAAGTTATAAAGATAAAATATTAAAAAAATCCAATTATCTTTGTCACTAAATAAAAAAATCTAAGTACATAGTAGGTACCTATCGTTAAAAGGAAAATTGTAAATCTTAACGCCATAATTCACGTTGCCAGTAAATGGCGCGCCGTGAAATACTGCAGTGATTGTGATTATTGTATTAATACGACCGCAAATTCGCGGCGAAACGCTTCATCAATTTTGAATAGGTACTCGCTGTCAGTGACAAGGCAACGTTGTAACTAAGGTAATGATTTTACAACGAGTTTTCTAATTACAGACCACCAGCGAAAGGCTTCAGCAAAGCGAATGCGTATATATACTAACTAATATCAATATTTATGTTTAGATCTGTATGTACTTGTTACACTCGATTATCTGTTGTGAAACAATAACATGTAACTGTCTAGATAATAGATAACACGGTAGACAGATTAAAAAATTGCAGGTAAGTAGCTAGGTACAGTAAAGATCATGTACTTATTCACGAGCTAAATGTTTGTGTGTTTATCACTTAATTTAAGAAAGAAAATTGCCCCGCCTTGCTTTGAGATACTTTCCATTCTCACAGATTCCGACGATTCAACGCACTGCATACTGCAACGTATCGCTTGTGATTCAATTCCTAGATTGGAATTTCATATTTTAATCTCAAAATCTTCATATATGACATCGGGAGGTATCTCGTTAATTAAAAAAATATATAATAACTTTTCAACGTGTACGAAGTCTGAAGAAGATTTCGGCGTGGCAAAATACAAATTTTCATCGGGTTACAAATTTTCATACAGGTTTCCCATACAAACTTCCAAAGGTGGTTGGAAATCTGTATGGGCCTTAATCGATTTAGCGGTTTCAGTGTAGGTAACAGACATACAGGCATACTTTCGGTTTTATAATATACAGCCCGTTTTTCACCGCCAAAAAGGAATGAACTAGGGATGTCTAGCGGCGCGTTCTTCATGTACATATAATAGGATTGCTTAAGCGAGAAAGAGTTCCGAACTAACTAGCTCGTTTTTACTCTTCTTGTCCTCTCGTGGTATTGCGAGGTAAACGGAGTCATTAATGAGCTCGCTCCGTTCGCAGTGGAAAACCCCCTTTAGAATGGACGGATGGCTACTAGCTTGCGCCCGCGACTTCATCCACGTTAAAGTGAGTTTTTTGAGAATCCCACAGGAACCAAAAAAAGTATCCTATGTGTCAATCTCAGTGAAAATTTTATCACTGATAAGAAATGCCAAATTTCATCCAAAATGTTCAGACACTTTAGCGTGAAATGGATGTCTGTTGCTCACAAACATCTACTACTAATAAAAACTTCGCATTCATAAAATTAGTAAAGATAGGATTCATCACCAATGCATACGCGTTCAGTCATATTTATGTAACATTTTTATGCAATTATTTGTATATTTGCTACATTTTATCCTATCTGTTCACTTGGTAACTTGCTATCAATATATTTTCAGATTTGACATGGTTAAGAAACTTCACAATCTACTTATCTAATCTTAGTCCTTATCCCAGTTAAACAAATTAATATATATATATATATATTTAGCGTCAAGTAGTATGTATGGATTTAAAGTTCTGCAAGAATCAACCTTTTCTGAAAGATTTATTAGCCAAGGTAAATTAAAATAATGAGACAGACGTTTCATTATAATAATATAAGTTTTTTAGATTTTTTCCTTGAAATACAATGATGTAAGAACAGCGTTTTAAGTGAATGACGCCGGAAAAAAACAAAAGCTAACAACTGACTGAGTAAATTAGAATCCTTTATGTAAGTATTTCTACGTGTTTAATCTATGTTTCTGTAGTACCTAAATACCTAATTTTATTTTCAACTGTTTTTTTTGCAAATGAAATGGAATGTATGCCTATCGAAGCGCAATATGAATCTGCTTATTAAGTATCACTTCAAGTTAAGAAGCTACTGTTTTATTTTACGTTTTTTAGATTATGAGCATAAACCACGAACTATAGAAAGAATTAATATATAAACTTTATATATACCTACTATTTTAATATATTTATATGTCTTTTCCATATCATTCTGGCATACTTCAACTTCCTCTTCGTTTAGCTGTCCTTTACCGCGAAGGTTGTCTGGAAAATATCGCTTAAAGCCTTTGCCCATATTATTGTTTTTTTAATAAACATTTTTATCTATCTATAGAGAAATTAACTCCGTCAATGATGACAGTTTTCGACCCGTAAACTTTACTATCATCACAATGTGCCTCTGCTTCGGTTGGAGCCTCCTCAAAAATTACCGTAATGTATTTACCTAATGTCACACTGGCGCTTATTTGGTTTTGTCTGGTGGATGTTACAAAACCCTTTTTCTCATACAAAGCTCGTCCTCAAAATCACGGAAATAACATAAAAAATGGGCCCAATCAGTAAATCCGCTTTCATGTGATGCGTACTACATGTGGCAATCGATTCATGTAGGTATTATTAATAAGCCCCGTTATTAACGTTTGTAATACCAGTATAAGTACTAAAAGTAATCTTTTAAGATTAAGTTCTTGTTGGTACACATTTGATTTTATACCAAAAACAGAAAAAAACCTAATTAACGCTTTCTTAATTCGTGAAAGTAACGATATTATGCCTTCCTGTCCTATCAAAAAAATATTTACAGCAAAATTAATATGCCTACCTATTAGAGTTCAGTAAACTAACTACGGACTAATAACAATTCCACTGTTTTGTTATGAAGAAAAATAAAAAAATGCAATATCATGATGTAGCACGGAATTTCCATGGAAAATGCAGAAATTAGACAATCGAGTTTTATTTAATGTTTGGATATCGTTATCTACACATATTTACCCGCGTCTAGAATTTTACTTGCTATCTGGGAGTTTAGATTTACAAGCATTCACTCGTGCTCGATTCAAGGAGCAGTACGCTCGCTCTCTATCCAAGTCCCCACTGCATAAGGATCGCACCTCTGTTTTTTTTCGGACAGCATAGACTAGGGCCTTTTTTTCACATATAAAATCGATTCAAATTCGAAAACTACCTACTCAACTAGATCTACTACCTACTCAAATAGAATCAGAGGGCATAAAAAATATAAACGGAAATCGACAAGCTGAATAAAATCATTCTAATGGTACGAGTTTCGGCCGGACTTTGGTTTTATTTTGTAGTAGGTCTTCAGTAGTACAAAAAGTATTCCATCAGCGGGATTAAGTCGCTGAAAGTTTGTTCAAATTAACATTTGGTCCTCTTCACCCACTGGATAGCCAATGGATACCCAATGGACACCCAATGGAGATATTGCTATGGATCAACCATAGCAATGGCTCCATAGTGGCTCTCTCGTACACTCTTTCCTGCACTGAGTCCACCATGTGAGTAAATTTTCCAAGTAATGGTTTCTAAGACACTGGAAAGTGCATTCGTATCCTAACATGTTAATTTTCTCAGCCAGATTTACCACAAATTTAACTATAAATCAAATGATAATGAAAAGAGTTGTTATGTGTTTTTATAAAAGGCACAATCCATGTTGGAGCCATTGTAATGGATCTAATTGGACGTAGGGATTTGAATTGTTCATAGATTTGATATTCTACTCTGTATACGAAGCTTTTCTCGGTGAATATTTGCCCTTAAAGGACAATGTTAAAATTGGCCTAAGAACCAACACCAATTTGGCATTTATGATAATTCTTAGTATATTTTTTGCGATAACTATCAGTATTTAGATTGTGACGGACACTTCCAGTTAAGTAAGCTAAATTAAAAAGTTAAAAAATAATCTGAGACAATAAATACCATTTTATGTGTATAATCTATGGCAGCGCTGCAAACAAAACACTCTTTCTTCCTCATGCCGGTACTTCACTTGACTATTAGTATTTGCTATTTTAAAACATGACATCAGTCTGTCCTTTTCATTCCTTATTAAGCATGACAAGGACAAACTGTTGTCAAGTGAAGGGCCGGCATAAAACTTGTTACTCTGTAGTTGTGGTACATGCAGTTTGCATACGTAGTAATCTGTGCTGTGGCATTCGTGCATTCCAAAGAGTAGTTTAATATACCGAAAAGTGCATTCTCGTTTCGGATTACCTGTGTACCCTGTGTACCTTGTGTGTGTTTATTTGCGATTGTTTTGCCTTTAATTTAACTATTTCGGCTATCTAATATGCCATCGATGTTACCAAAGAGCAGAGCTCTTATTAACAAGTGCTAGTGAACCTGTGCCACAAGATCCTGAGGAGATCATACTGCCAAATTATTCAAGAACACCTGATACACATTCACGCTGCATATTTACACAATACACATGTGATATACAAATAAATACATTAAACAATATGATACAATTATGTGAAAAATAGTAAATAAATAAGAAGCAAAACTACAGTTTTTATTTTATTCATGATTCCTACCCAACCAAATTTTTCCTAATAGTCATTTATTTATTTATTTATTTATTCTTTATTGCATGCCACAGATAGTACAAAAAACAACATTATCATAACTTGTACAAACATGTGACACCCTGCAAGGGCGTTGCAATTTTACTTAAATTATTATTATTAATTAAACAAACAATCAAATATATTATAAAAAAAATCAATTCAATTATTAAACATGCATCTTACCAAAATTAAAATTAAAAAATACATATATTTTACAATTTAAAAACTATAGATATTAATATACAATTTTCACACTCACAATTTTTAATATAATAGAGATGTCATGAAATTTAATATATTTTTTTTATTACTTCATTAAAATTATATATCAAATATGTTTATCTTGGAAAAATTCTAATATATTATAATATGATTTATTAATAAGATAGTCATTCTTTAAAATCGCACCGAGTAAAATGAATTAGTTGTAATATTAATTCACTTCATACTGATTTCATACTAAATTCATAGGTTGACCTATGTTTCATTGAATATTAGACATAATCTATATAAAATTTTAGTTTTCCTAATAATTTAAGTTCACAGAAGTGTCCGTGAATAATTTTTTCATCCCACCACCTCGGAAAGTGTAATTTTGCGCTTCGAAATCTGGCTGGAAAATTCTATTTTATTCGCTTGAGCGGCAAAGTAGATTTGAATTTAGAACATCACATATAATGAGTACTCAATATAATTGTAAATTCAAAACGTCATTAAACCTATTTAATGTAACCTCTATGGTGCCAAATTTATGATTAGAACTTTTTAAATTGTGAAAAAATTTAAATTTGGAACCTTCTTGGTTTCTTTGTTTTATTTGCGTGCTTCGCGCCATTCTAGTTTTTCACGTTTTATTGCTTAATATAATTAACATAACC